CTAATATTTGTTGTTTGTTTGTGTTTAAATGACTGCGGACACTAAATCCATTCGCCAATCTTAGCAATACTTAGCAAAGTCGACGTCATTGTCTTTGCTAAGAGACGCTAATTGTATCCGAACGTCTGCGGTCCCTCCGGTGAGTACCGATTGCACAAGGATAGAAATTATTTTCATTCATTATTTTTTTAATAAACGAAAATTTCTCCACCCAGATGAGATTCGAACTCACGACCTTTAGGTTCAAAGGTAGGCGCTCTTACTACTGAGCCACAGAGGGGATTTATTGACCTAATAATCGATATTGTTATAATATAGTAAACACACAGGCAATTTAGTTCAGCATAATGTTAGTTCGTTAGTAAATCATAATAGTTCATTTGTTCGAGATGTAATTATAGTTACTCGTAAGCTGCAACGTAATCATATAAATAAGTAATGTCATCGCGAGGTTATTCCGTGTGTATATGAGTAACCAATGAATGAGATACATTAAAGTTTAATACATTATTTAACCTCTCCGACAAATAAGATATAGTTTCATAATATACCATAAAATTTGGATATGTATCCTCCATTATACATGATAGCCACCTCGTAGCCAAGAATTTAATCCGCTTCATTTAGGTGTATGGCACGCATTAAAACAACGTGTCTATAAGAATTCCATAAACATTTGGAACCAACTATAGGAAGAAATCAATAGTACAGAAGTTTATTTAGAACCAATGATGCTAGTAGTTAATATAAGACAATCTTGTATGGAATATATTGACAAATGAATTGGTGGACATATCGAACACTTACTTTGACAAAAAGTTATGTTATTTAGTTTAACTATTTCTTAATGTGGTTTGTAAACAAAATATTTTGATATGACTTTAATTTTACATAAAACGTAAAATGTTTGATGTAAAATCCTATGAATTTGTTATTTTGTCAAATCCTATTATTAATTATCCTGATGATATATCTATTTTATTTAATAGTTCGTTAACTATTAACTTTAGTTAAAGGTATTTTATATCAAAATTCAGAAGTATTAATGTTTTTGTCTATTTTTCATTCGTTGCCTGAAGAAATTGATTTAAATCAGAATCTCGAACATCCAGGCAAGCCAGGGCATCCCCTTTTCTGAGTCTATCCCTTATCTCAAAGGATCGAGAATTTTCTCCCTGTATCCTAACGCGGATTTTAAGTTGTCAAGAAAGACATTGTCATTCTCGTTAATCGGATAAGTTTTTCTGGTATACCAAGAAATGTAAGGAAACACTATAAGAAGTATTAAATACATTTTATGTATAAATGTAAATAGTAATTGTAATGAAAAATTAACCTTTACAGCCCTAGGCCTTCAAGGCCTGTTAGTTTTATAAATAAAATAAATAGACTTATCAGTCGATACAATGAAGCTCTACGTGGGTTTTCTTGTTTGAGGATCAATATTATTTATGTTAACAATAACAATAGTTTCCTTAAAAGTTTATTCAGTATAAAACCTGTTATAAGATCAAATCCGGAAGCTTTCTGCGAATTAATTTTATCTATTTTTAATTTACTTCTCTGATGGACTAAAAGGTATAAATAGCCACTTACTGTTCATAATCGGAACACCAGGAGTGGCTAGACATATGGCCCTGTGATTTGCTAAAATTTGTTCTTCTATGCTAGCTAAAATCTGTGAAGGTCTCTCATGTTTGTATATATTTGTAAATGGTGACTATTATTCTCAGGTTACTAACACAACGCAAGACACCAGTTCTTAGTTTGTATTGCGCTGTCCATATCCAGTGAGAGCATTTGTATTCAGCAGCCATTTGATTTGAACGTGCAATATGTGTTGTAGTAGATGATGCTTGTTATAGGTTTATTCGGTGCGTTTCAGGCGATTCGGGATGGATCTTGACTTTTCAGAAAGCTTTTCCGAGATCTTAGCCTGCTTGGCTGTGTTTGATGATCATACAAGGAGTGTCTCCTGCTTCTTTTGTTTTAACACGGACGTGACCTATCTTCTGAAAGGTGGTGAAGCGATTCCAACTATGGGGTAGACCTCTTCGATGGCTGTATATTTCAGGCAACGCAATATTATACGGACTATTTCATTGAAAGCAATGTCAACGTTTTTAACGTGAGCTTGCTCACACTGGTGCTCCAAATTCCACGGTAGCAAAATATAATGCTAAGGCAGAGGTGCGGAGAGTGTGTGGTTGTGCTCAACATTCTAGGCCCACTAACTATTTTCTTGTCCTCTTGACAGAGGTACCTGTAAAATAGAGTTCTATCTGGACGTATGCCGAAATATTTTAGCGTCTCGTGTTAAGTATCTGGTCACATCATTCCACCTCCAGCGTCCTTCAAACATGATTTTTACTAAAGTGGAAAGCACACGCGTGTTTTTGTGGAATTGGATTTCAGATGGTGTTCATCGTAGTGCAGTGTTAAGTCTTTTAGAATATTTTCAGTTTGTCTCCTACTTTATAGAAGGTTATCCCCTGAGCTGCCACAACTGTATCATCAACGTAAATAAATTGTTTTGTTTATTATTTAATGGGTTGGTCGTTCGTGTATGTTTGTATTGAAAGGGCGCGAGGAGAGACCTCGCTTTCCTGTGACAGCCCATTTTTTTCTGGTCCCTTCACCAACTGTTCTTGGACTAGAGTGTTACCTAGAAGCGTCTGTTCTGGAAAAGGCATTTCACTAGTTCATAGTTTCGTAGAGTTTGACCAGCAACCGTTAATGGTTACCATTAACATAAAGTTACAATCTTTTCGTATAATTGTTGGGTAATGATTTTTAGGTCTATTGAGATATATATGAACTTGTCGAGGCATTGGGTTCACTCAAGACTCGTAGGTCCCCCGGACTGGATCAGATACCACCTGAGGCGGTAAAGGGTCTAGGACGGGTGGAGCCTGCGTGGCTTCTGAAACACATGAATACATTGCTGGAGGCACAAACTTTTCCTGAGCCTTGGAGGACATCGAGGCTAATACTGCTTCCCAAAGCTGGGGAAAAGTATCGCCCCATCTGTCTTCTTCCATGCACCAGTAAGCTCTATGAAAGGATGCTGCGAGTACGCATAGACGACATGATTGAGAGGTCAGGTGGTTTATCTCGGAGGCAATTTGGCTTTTGCAAAGGGAAAAGCACGATTGATGCAATCATGAGTGTACTCGAAACATTGCACAACAGAGGGAATGAACATCGCTGGGCGGCCCTGCCGTTGTTTGATGTTAAGAATGCATTCAATACGCTGCAGTGGAACGAGGTAATGAAGGCAATGGAGGAGAGAATGTCCTGGTTACCTGATGAATATTATGGCGGAGTATCTGTCCGAGAGAAGGATTATGGTGGAAAAGGGCACGATCGTGGACGTGACGGCCGGGGTACCCCAGGGATGTCTTGGGCCCGACGCTATGGAATCTGGCCTATGACGGGGTTATGCACTGTGAATACGGAGAGGATACAACCCCCTTCGCATTCGCGGATGACCTCGCTGTACTGGTAGTAGCCCGGGATGAGCCAGATCTCAAATACCGGGTTCGGAACGCAGGTGGCGTCGTAAAGAAATGGATGACGCAGCACGGACTAAAACTTGTGACAGAGAAAACCGAAGCCATTATTCTGAAGGGGACAAGGAACAGGCAAGGTGTTGAATTGAAATGTGCGGGAGTATGTCTAACACCCAAGAGACAAGTAAAGTATCTAGGAGTGACATTGCACCAGAATGGAAAATGGGGGGAACACGTTCGGGAGGTGGTCCGAAAGGCTGCGAATAGTGCGGCTGCGTTGGGGAGAGTGATGCCGAACATTGGAGGACCCAAATCCAAAAGGAGAAGGGCCTTACACGGTGTCGTACAGTCTATCGTTCTCTACGCAGCACCAGTCTGGAGCGAGGCGGTAGAGATAACGGCCTATAGGAGTCTTATGAAACGAGTAGACAGAACAAGTCTGTTGCGAGTGGCATGCGCCTACAGGACTGTGTCTGCGGCAGCCTTATGGACCATCACTGGATGTGTTCCGTTGCATATTTTGGCGGTGGAAAGAAAAGAGCTTTATGAGAGAAGAGGCCCAAACCTTATTGTGGCTGAGAGAAGACAGGTAAGGGAAAGGTCAGTTGAAAGATGGCAAGAAGAATGGAACAATACGGAGGATGTGGCACAGTGGACGAAAATGCTGATCCCTAACATAAGAGTTTGGGTGGACTGTGACCACAGGCGATTGGATTATTTCCTGACGCAGGTGCTCACAAGACACGGGTGTTTTAGGGCCTACCTTTATAGGATCGGTAAGGCTGATACAGATGAATGCCTATATTGGGGATACTCGGACACTGTGACACATACGATGTTAGATTGCAGCAGATGGATAGTGGAAAGGAACAGAATGGAGAGAGAGACAGGTGTGAATTTTGTTACAGTGAGAGAAATGATTGAGAGAATGATTGAAAATAAATTAGGTTGGATTAACATACACAGTTATATCCGTGCAGTGATCAAAAAAAAAGGAAGAGGAAGAAAGACAGCTGGACCAACGGCAAAGGTAGAGTGAATGATGCTGAAAGGTGAAGTTAGAACAGTGGGTCACACTTTTTGAGTTAGAATGCGTGAGTTTGACTGTGGGGAAGGAGAAAATGCCCTTCTGAGAATGATGTCGAAATAGGAGTGTGGATGTGTATGAATGAAGAATGAATGAATAAAGGTAGTGCTTCGGAAGTGATGCCGGCCTTACAGCGGCCATTCCGCTTCCGGATCGCTGGATGACAGAGGAGGGTCTGGTTTAGCAGGTAGGCGTTCGGCGTAGACTCGGCGACGAGAGGGCATTTTAAAGTACCTCTGGAACTATCGCCGGGAGTACGAAGAACGAATCCTGCACTAAGGTCAGTCAGGCGGCGTCCTGGACTGAGATGTCTTTTGAAGATTCCAGACCCCCCTCTATTATAAAGACGAAAAAAAAATAAAAAAAAGGTCTATTGATAAGATAAATAAAACATCTCCAAAATTATCTAAAACTGTATTGAATAATAAAAGCATATTTTAATAAAAATTAGACTTCTTGGCAGCCTACTCTAACATTAATATTACAAGATGCTAATTGTGTAACAAAAAATTTGAATATATAAGGAATTTTTATTTTATTTATATGTTCATCAGTTTCGCACAGTCTACATGTTTCCTTCGTCTCGGTATGTTGTGGTCTATCAGCTAACCTCATAACGGCCGTAATCGGGCCCAACAATGTTCCACAAGACGTGCAAATGAAGGCCTGAAAAGAGCAAAAAACTTATATCAGAATTTTAAAGCTCAAATAATATTAACTTTTATAAAAATGTATATAGCTCGCTCACGGTGGAACTACTTAATAAGGATCCTTAACAATTTGTACCATAATTTACTATTTTTATTAGGAATACGCCACAATTTTACTTTAAAATAAATTTATTTTGACGTTTCGATTACCACTTCGGTAATCGTTCTTTCGAAATGGTAATCAAAACAGCGATTACTATGCGATCACTAACAGGAGAATGTTCCTGTCATCATTGCATGTGGTTGTCTTTTAAAAGACCAATCACATGCTATGATTTTTCTGATGGCCATTCTTAAGTTAAAGTTGAGTTCATGTAATCCAATGAACTATCTTTCAGAAAATCGTCCCAGGAAAGCACCTCAAAAATAATGACGATATCATTTTAAAGTCATCTACTTTAAAATGTATAATATTTTTCTGAATTGTCAATATGCATGAGTCAGATAAAATTAAATTATTAGAAGAATCTTTCTTTATTATTAGAATTATTAGAAGAAAGGTAAAATTATACTATTCAATATCATGATAAGTATTACATGCCGTATACTTCTTTCACTTCCATTGGTGTATGTTCAAATATCGAAAAATTGGTACTGATTATAAAAATACTTACTGTACTTTCATCTGAACAGTGAAACAAGCGGTCTTGCAGTAAAAATGAAGCCCCGTGGCTGATAAGTGCGTCACGTTCCATTTCACCAAAACGAACACCCCCTCCTCTTTTCCTTCCTTGTAGCGGTTGTCTAGTTAATATATTAGTTGGTCCAGTAGACCGCACCTAAAACAGCACGAAAAAACATTGTTATATTAAATATAACACATTATAACAGAAAAAGTATGCAAAGTTTTTTGGGAAATATAATATCCTAATTTTATAATCTCCAATAAAAATCATTTGTAAAAACCCAATGAACAAAAGGGTATTTATGAACCCTCTAGTCAGATACAAAAACGGATCTATAATTATTTTACAGCTTATTTCTACTGCAAATTAAGCAACAAAGATAGCTTAAGGCCTTTTTTTGAATGTGAAGAATTTTAAATTTGTCATTAAAAGAATGATTATGATCTAGAAGGTGAAGTGGGTATGTAGATTCTGTTTTTCTATTATTGAAAGCCCTTTTATGTTCTGTTATTCGTTTATTAAAATTTCTATCAGTTTGACCGATGTAAGTTTTTGGCCAGTCGCCACATTCAAGTGTGTAAACACCACTGTGTAAGTGTTTTTTATTTTGGCTCTTGTTGTTTTTAATATATTTGCCTAAGTTGTTATTTGTTCTGAAAGCTGGTGTTATTCCTTTCTTTTTTATGTATTTGGCTATTTTTGTTGATATTTTGCCTGTATATGTAATCGAGCAGAAGGTACTTTGGTGGTGGAAATAATAATTTCAGGGCCTTCTTGTGTAGTTTTTGATTTAACATTTCATTAACTGTTTGTTCGTTGTATCCATTGTTTACTGTTATTTGTTTAATGATATTTAATTCTGTCCCAAAGTTGTATTTTGACATCGGAATTTCTGTTAATCTATGTAACATACTATGATAGGCTGCCAGTTTATGTTGTGTGGGATGGGATGATGAATTCTGTATATTCGTGTCAGTATGGGTAGGTTTATGAAATATGAAGAAGTCATGTTTGTTTTTAAGTCTGATAATTTTTAAATCTAAAAAATTTATGGATTGATTTTGTTCTGTTTCTATTGTAAATTTAATATGACTAAGAAGTGAATTAATATACGATAAAAATTGGTCGGTGAAACATACCAGTACGTCGTCTACGTATCTCCACCAATATAAAAACTTTTTAAATGGGATGTTTTGAAATCTTTGTCTCTAGATGATCCATAAAAATATCTGACAGCAATGGGCTTAGAGGATTGTCCATTATAAGTCCTACACTGATATTTGTATATATTTGATTATTAAATTCAAAGTAGTCATGCTGTATGCAAACTTCAAGGAGATGTAAAATTTCAGATGTAATGATTGGATTTGTACTATTTTGGTCTAAACGGTTTTTTACTAGAATAAAAATGTCTGTAGGAGGAATACTAGGAAAAAGATTTTTTACGTCAAATGAAATTAATCTAGAGTTGTTAGGCAATTGAAAATGTTGTATTTTATTAACTAGTTCTATTGTATTTTTTATGGGAAATTTAGGTGAAAATTTAGTGTGTTCTAAAATAATCTCTAACAGTTTTTTTGAAAGTTTATGTGACGGAGCTGGATAAAAAGAAACTACAGGTCTTATTAGGTGATCCGGTTTGTGTAGTTTAATGAAAGAGTATAATTTAGGGGGCTGTGGGTTCATGATATTTAGGTATTTCTGTACTGTTAGATTTACTATTGATTTTGAATTTTCTAACGCTAGCTTAATTTTGAACTAGCTAAGTTTTTGATATTTTTATGTTGGATCTTTGTGTAACGTTTCAATATTTTGATTATTTAAAAATTCTATTGTTTTGTTATTATATTATATTTTATCTATAGCAATAGTAGTGTTACCTTTGTCTGCTTTTGTAAACACTACGTTGCTTTCTATTGATTTATTTTTAATTTTGTTTTATTCTCTTTGTAACAGGAATTTTTGGTTTCACTACACACATCTTTAATAGATTTCTAATAAATGTGTATATATGTAAAAGACAGATCTATCTCTCAAAATGTCAAGGTAAGACTGGTGAATGCCCTTATATTCTCAATATTTCTATATTGGGTAAAGACTTGGACTCTTTGTAGACGCGAGCGCCAAAAAACTAATGCATTTGAGATGTGGTACTGGAGAAGAATGCTGCGCATACCTTCGACAGCTCATAGGACTAACGTTTTCATTCTAAACCAACTCGAGATTAAAAAAAGGCTGTCCACAATATGTCTGCAATGTATTCTGCAATTTTTCGGTCACGTGGTTCGCAGAGGTGACGATAGTTTGGAGAGATTAATTGTTTTTGGAAACGTTCTGGGGAGAAGATCAAGAGGACGATCACCAACTAGATGGTCCGACCAGATCAGGAATTCAGCTGTAAACTCATTCTCCGAAGCTCTTAAAACAGCTGAAGATAGATACCGGTGGAGAAAAATTGTTAGGAATATTGGAAGAAATGATAGATAGAGAGATAATATTATATTTCTAAACAGACTTTACAACTTAAATTACGTCAGTGTACAACCAAAGAATTTGGTCAACGGCCTAAATATGTTTGAATAATTGGAAATGTCCAATCTAAGTATCTAAAACTAGGCGGATAATGAGGTTCTTATGGTCAAAAATGAGAATAACTTGCAAGGGTGGTTTCATAGTTGTAACACATGTGAATGTTAAATATATACAGTACGGTCGTGTTAATCCGAACGCAATGTCGTCCAAACGACTGGACGAAAAAGACATTATTTTACGCTCCCTTGTCGCTAAGCTGGCTCAAGACAACACAACAATAATTACTGAATCTGAGGTTCAGGAATGGCACAGCCACCTTTACTTCCAAGCCATGAAGTAGAAATTTGGCAACAACGCGTGGTAGTCCGACTGTGGTTTGTTTTGGTTTAACATTTCATATAGGAAGGCTTGTAAAGTTTGTTGAATTTATTGTTTTTATAACTTTATTTGAATGTTTTATTTGTAAATTGTGTTTAAATCAATTAGAAAATATTAATATAAGTAAAATTTCATTAAATTTAGAACATTTAGAAGATTCTTAACCACAATTTAAAAGGCAAGTATAAATATAACCTACAAAACAAACTGAAAATAATAATACTTTTGCTTCTTGTTACAAAATATGTAAACTAAAAACAACAATAATAATACTTTTGTTTTTTGTTACAGATGCTCTGGCATTGTTGTATACCTGGTTGCAAAACCAATTATGCCAGTACTTTAAAAACGTGTAACGATGAGTCCAAGCCATCACCGTTAAACCAGCGTGCGCGCGAACCAACCCATGAAGTAGGAGTGTATCGACAGTAGAAAGGGCAAAACTTTGCTATATAAACCGCATTATTTCCTTATAGAGGCAGAATCGTCAGGTGTTGACTGAAGGTTCTCTTCTTCCCTACCCCGGCTTGTGGACGTGTTGAGTTCACAAGTTGTTTCCTTTCCATACCGTCACCCGGAGAGCGTGTTGAGCTCTCCATTACCCGTACTCCGAAGCAGTCGTGTTGAGACTGTCGAGGAGTGTCCTATTAACCCGAATCACTTAAGGGACGTGTTGAGTTCCTTTCTTTTCTTTGTACCTATCGTCCGCTGTTATTAAATCGACACATCGTTCACGTAAAATTCCGAAAACACACTCGATTGCCGATAAGACCAACTTCATACGACAAGGTCAAACTTAATTTGAATAAATAGGCCAGGTACTGAGAAGACTAAACTAAATTGTAAATATGTACATAAGATTTTTGAATTTAATTTAAGGAAGACAATAAAGTTTTATTTTTATTTTGAACTCTGTCTCTGACTGTCCAAAAGCTACCCGGATAGTGACTCCTACGAGAGGACGTCACAAACGAAACAGGCAGAAAGTATGTTTTTGTTTCCAAAAGATCCCCAAAGAAGGTATACTGGCTTATGCTCTATTTATAGAGAAGGCTGTACAATTACCAAATCTTCCGTAGTATGTGCCAAACATTTTCATGAACATTGAAAAGTTAATATTTCCCAAATTAAAAGGCAATGCAGTTCCTAATATATTTCCTGAAGTACCATCATATGTAACTGTTCATCGTACTAAAGAAAGAAGGAATCCCGAAGACAGAAGAAACTTTTTGCATAAGAAGAGGGAACAAGAGATAACATAATTATGTCAATTAGACTTAGACAATAATATCCCATTGAAAAACTGGACAAGTAAAATTACAAGTGACTGTGTATATTTCTATGTATTAAACATTAATCAGTTGGAACACAAGTGTGATAATATTTGTGTAATATGTAGTGTAATAGTTAGCAGTAATTTTAGTGTAATCGTTAATGTAGGTAACAATAGATTAAGTGGTAATGATTTGAAATGGTCACAATTAGAGAACTTACTTTCTCATTTAGATCTGCGTTTTAGATAAGTGATAACAAATTTGAGTATTACATTCAAAAATCTTTTGAAAATATAGGCTATTTTAAATCGATATACAAGTTATAAATGGTATGTTACATTCAACACATTTTTCATGTATACCTCTTTTAACTTGGTCTATATGACAACAAACCTATTCATATTTAAAATTGCTACTTTTGTATATCTAAGTATGAAAATTCAACAAAAGTTATAAGTAAATAGTAAAATATTTAATTTTCAATTAGATTAATTTAGAACCATATTTATATTGTGTCTGATTTCTTAGGATGAATTTTTTAATCATAATAGTTACACTAAGTTTTTACTTAGCACAAATTTTATATCTTTTGTATTTTTAATAATCTTTTTAAATGTCGTGTTAATGTATTGTTATTTATATGCTTAGGTACTTAATATTTAAAATTTCTAGAGATTCTTGACTGCATTTGATTGTAAGATTAACTGTTTGACACTGTATTTTAAGTGCAATAAATTTTACTCTAGTGATTATTTTATTGATAATATAACCTAAATAATAATAAAACTTTATATATATTTACTAGGTATATATAAGGTTTTATTAATTTAATTTGCCTAAAAATATTTCTGTAATGAATTGAAGTTTTCAAAATATCAGTTTCCTAAAATTCAAATTAGTTTAATATTCTGGTAGACCTTACAGCTGATTATCGGACTACCGACGTCATAGAATGCGGTGTTGCCTTTTTTACTTCATGGCTTGGAAGTAAAGGTGGCTGTGGGAATGGACATCAGGTGGCTGTGACAACTTTGACACCCAAGAAATGCTCACGGATGAAGAAATTGTAAGGACCATTTAAAATGAAAAAACGGAAGAGGAGGATGTCGACGATGAACCACTTGCTTAAAAACTTTTGCTGCTGAAGCTCTTAAAGCAGTGAACACGGCCATTAGTTAGGCAGAAGACAACCTCAACAGCATCGAGATCATGATGCTGAGGCGTATAAAATACAGAGCGTGTGATCAGCCCGTCGAGACTCGCGCCCAAAAAAAAAATTACAGATTTTTTACTGAGTGTAAGAATGCTAATTCTGTATTTCATATAACGTAACTGTAAATGGTGCTAATGTCTGTTTTATAAACAATAGTTTTTTGATTATTTAACGGAAATTTTTTTGAACGATTCATATTGGGTCATTCATGTAATCATTATAAAAGATACATTATTATTGTTTTGTAAATAAGCTTGATGTTGAACGTGAGTGTTTTAAGTCTACAAGATAGTCTTATATACTCAACAGTGGGTGTGATGCCGACTCTATTTGAACCAATGAAACTCAACGTTACACAAGCTCTTCTGTTTTTTTGCATTGTACCATAATCCTTAATTTTACATTAACTGTAATGATTAATACGTCTTATTAATATAAATAAATACGTAATGATTAATGTCTTAGTATAAATTAACCCAATAATCGTTTTGCTTACCTGCCACTTATCAGATACCATATGTCTTAACCTCTGATAGTGTACTATTCCAAAAAATATCTGAGCAGTCATTTCCCTTCCATCAATACCGGAATACATTGTTTCTGTACCGTAATAATTGTAACCACCTTTCTCCAATAGTCTGCCAAAATAATCGATAGCAGTATCTTCCTCCGTAAATCTAAAGGGGGTGGCGTCGTGAACCAGTCCATGTAATGCTGCAGATTTTCCCGCCATGATTTCGATCATCATAGCAATTGTCATTCTCGAGGGAAAACCGTGAGGATTGAAGACAATATCGGGTACAAGACCTAAAGAAAAATAAAATATATCCCATGTTTGATGTTTTAAACCACTTAAATATCACTAAAGAATTATATTATCAGTCTTTTGTTGTTATTTAAGTACAAAGAAATAAGAAATTAAGTACAAAAAAATTTCTTCATTTTTAATAAAACATTAAAGCACGAATATCTTTCACAATAGAAAGACCACAAAGATAGAAAACAGGTAAAATATATACAAATAAAAAAGACTAAATCCCGCAAGCAAACTACAGAAACATCTGCCTTCTATAAAAGAACTCTATAAAGGAACTATACACTTCATGCAAGGAAATTATAAAAAACTAAGTCATTAATCATTAAATTAAAAAAAAAATATATGCGAAGAAAAAGCTACCCAGGAGGCTGGCCATATACGTTCTCTCTCTATCTCTCTCTCTCCCTCTCTTTCTCTCTATCTCTTCCTTTCTCTCTACCCCCTCTCTCTCTTTCTCTATCTCTCTCTCTTTCTCTATCTCTCTATTTGTCTCTCCTTTCTCTATCTCTCTATTTGTCTCTCCTTTCTCTATCTGTCTCTGTCTCTCTCTCTCTCTCTCTCTCTCTCTCTCTCTCTCTCTCTCTCTAAGACCACGTGATTTACAGTAATCGTGCAGCTGTTGGATATAATTGAAATATGATACGTGATAACTTTCTTTTTCATCTACATTTTATAGTAAGGTCTTTATATTTTAACGTATGTTTTTGTCATATTGATAACACTTCACAGCTATTCTATATATTTTATAAATAAAACTAATAATGTTGCCATTACTCTTATTATAAATTACATAATCTGATTGTTCTTTCATCATGATCTCTCAACTGTATTTTTTTTTTTCTAAAACTGCACGATTGCTTTAAGTAGCATTTTCACGCTTACGCAGTACACTTTAACTAATCAGTAGGTAGACGATAATATATATTTCTCTACCACAAATCGATTTTTTGTTTATAAATATTATCTCATTTGCTTGAAAAATAAGCTTGCTTGATATAAACCAAATTAGCGTCTCTCTAGTAGTGCTTACTCTAGAATTTTAAAGTTATTTGGTCATATCCTTGAAGTGATCACAAAATGGAGTGGTTGGTGCTCCAAGGAACCTCAGAGTCAACGCCAACCCGGCAGATCACCACAGGGATGAGCAGACATTATTAAAAAGCTTCTCAACAAGCAGTATACTGAGACAATACATGTAACAGATGACCGCGACCAATGGAGAATTGTCATTAATCAGATTATTAATAAAGCTCAATGATGAACCACAACACATCTGCCAAGATGTTAATGACTATGATGATATACTCTTTATACAACAGAAGTATGATAATAAAACACTGGGACGGGAGTATTAACGGCATCTTACTTTTAAACCAAGTTGCAAGGTACAAACTAATATGATTCAAAAAGTAACATTTATGATAACGCTGTAAATATGCGTGCTCTCAGAGCTGTACTATCAAAATGATGATTAAATGTATGGTTAATTTGGTCAATGCTTTTTTTGTCTTATATTTACAAAAAATGTTATCGGTTTAAAAATGATTACTGTAACTGAAAACGCATAATGAGCGAAGAAGATACATTTTACATGTCATATTTAAACGTAGGCACAAACTTCCTTACCTGTTTCCGTAAATGGTAAATCTTCAGCGGGCCATTTTTGAGAGCAAATTCCCTTTTGTCCAGCTCTGCTAGCAAACTTATCCCCTACGCTGGGATTTCTCTAAAATAATAAATAAAAATATTTATATATGGTAAACTACCTATATGTCTATAACTATGATCAAGACTTATTTTAATTGGTTTTTATGTTTAATTATAATTTATTATGATATATATTGTCACATTATCACTCAGAAACAAAGCAATGTATTCAACCAATAGCTTCCTCTCTTCACTCTCTCTCTCTCTTTCTCTCTCTCCTTCTTTCTCTCTTTGTCACTATGTTCATTTATTACGTACCCAACCTGCCCATGTACAATAAGCCAATTTGGCGTAGTATAGTCGGTATGGAATCTTGGACCTTGAATGCGACATCAATGAATAAATCATTCGAGCTATGGGTGTACAGAAGAATTCTGAAAATATCGTGGACAGAACACGTCACATCAAACGCGAGACTTAATGAGTCACTTACTAAAAATATTCCTCAACCTCAGTTCGAATTTGGAAAGGCTTTCAGAACAAAAGAGGAACCAAGCAGCCACCTTAAAATATTCGAACAAGGCTGTGTCATGTCTCCCTTGCTCTTCAACTTATACTCTGAAAACATATTCAAACAAGCACCAGATGGCGCCGAACTTGGTATAAAAATAAACGGTAAATATATTAACAATTATAGGTATGCAGACGATATCGTTATGATAGCAGAAACAATAAAAGACTTACAAAATATACTAGACAGAGTTAATAATACAATGCAAGAAGTGTAAAACGCCCCTTGAAAACTTAAAAGTTTTTAAACTCAAAACTTAAACTTAAATTTAAAACTTTAAAAGAGTAATACAAAATGCAAAATTAAAATGATTTGAAAACTCTATACTGATATACTTACTGGCACTCGATATGTAAAACAAGCTATCTTCTTGGCCTTTTGCCGCCCAAAGTTTGCGCACAACTTGACACTATGTATGTAACATTCTTCTTTGCCTTTAAAAGTTTTAGTTATGTAAAGTGACCGATCAGCATCAAAAAAACAATACAATGGTGTGTTTTCTACCATTTTTCTGCCGATGAATGGTAGACCATCGGAATCCAATAAACTAAAAGAATATTTTGTATAAGTACAACATTTTTTACATACAAAACAGAAAAAGTAAATAAGAACACAATCAGACAGGTAAATGTGAACACAGTGTAATGAAAGAGGCATAGATAGGTGAAACAACAAAATCAAGCAAGAAATAAAAGAAAAAGTAAACTAAATCACGAAACTAGAAATCCGAAGATTTCTAATTATTGACGAAACCAAAATCCAGATTTTTGCTTTAATCTGTGCCTTCTAAGAATTGCATGGCAAAACAGACGTTGATAAAGATGTAAATAGAGAAATGGGGAATCTAAAATTGCATTCCACAACATATCTCCCCAACTAAGCAAAAATCCTTGGCGAATTGGTTTCTCGCCGACGAATGGAATCGTACTCATGAGAGTATGAGTACTGAGAATTCACTTGTCTGAAACACAACATGTTTTCGAGAAACTATTTATTATCCCAGAATACATCAGATAAAGCTTTAAAAGTATTAGATTCCTTGAGGAAATGTACCCGTATTTTGTGTAGAAATTTTAAGATGACACTTTAGACTACGGGCAGCTTAATTTATTGCTGTGTGCGTAGGTTCTAAGAACAAAGGAACCACCCTCGCTGACTTTCGTTGCATACATACGTATCTCTTCCGTATGGATGTGTGTCAAGTGTGTGTAAAATTTGTAAGAGCACAAATCATTACTTTGCAACTATTGTTAATCAATTTATTGAAAACACTCCAAATGAGGAGTCAACATAACAAAGTATCTGTTCGAGAGTCTTTACCACTACTGTTTATTTCGAAAAAAACTAAATTATGGTATATAGAGATATTCGATAAATGTAGTCTTCGTGTAAGATGATTTGTATGAATGGGCTTTTATACCACGTAGATTTGCCATCCAGTAATTGGCCTGCTCGTTCCTCTGATTTGAAATCGACTGAACATGGCTAGAGCATACTGATTATAATAATAACACCTATAATTTTATATCTGCAAGATATTAAAAAGCAAGTTTAATTGAAAGATTAGAAATTAAGAAGACAACACTTAAATATTTGTTCCATGCAAAATACACAGAATCGTATATTTATGGATCAAGGTGGACATATCTATAAATATAAATAATATCTTAAGGCAGCGATTTTCTGAGTATACGACGATGTATTCTGAGCAGTATTCGTCTTACAAATTTTATCAAAATTTGATGTGACGTCATTCTGCGAACGAAACTATGAAATCCAATATTACTGAAAGCATTCATTTGTCTGCAGTATGTTCTCATAGCAAGACAGAGTTAAACTAGTTTTTGCATTGGTAAAATAGTTAAATTATTTATTGTTTTTCTTCTAACAGTTGTTTTTAATACTTTATTTTCTTTATCGTACTGGTTGCCAGGAGAGCTCAGCGGCTAGTTTGGCGTCCAACAACCCCAAATATCTAGGCGTCACACTTGATAGAACACTCACCTTCAAAAGTGATCTTACAAACGCAGCCGGTAAACTAAGAACACGAAATAACTTAATATCAAAACTTGCTGGAACAACTTGGGGTGCTTCTGCAGATACTCTTCGGACCTCTGCTCTAGCTTTGGTTTTTTCAGTGGCAGAATATTGTGCACCAGTATGGCTAAATAGTGCACATACAAGCAAAATCGATGTCCAACTTAACCAAACCATACCAATACATCAAGATATCCCAGACATCTCAAAAGAGCACCAACGATTGAGATCTAGAAATCCTCCAATACGATCTGCCCGAAAAATTTGTAATTCCTATGATATACATAGGCAATGGACAACAAGATGGATGCCAACAGTAGAATCGGACTATATTAAGATATCCACCCCAACTCGGGGTTTCATCGGATCAAATCTGCCCCGGTCCATTTGGGCAAGGCTTAATCGTATACGTACCGGACATGGTAAATGTGCTGATTCGCTGTTCAGGTGGGGTCGTGCAGAAAGTCCACAGTGCGATTGCGGAGAATCTAGACAGACCATAAGCCATTGTGTTTCAGATTGCTTGAATCGTGCCTACCGTGGAAACCTCCAGGACTTTGCGGAATATTCCCCAGAAGCAATTGAATGGCTATGTAAATTGGACATTAATATTTAGTGTCATTCATTCTATTCATTCTATTTTTACTATTTTTAGTGTTTGAATAATATATATAATATATATGTGTATATTATTGTAATTGTATTTGTATATTTATCGTACTGTGAAAGTCCATACGCTAAATAAAATAAATAAATACTTTATATTGAATTCGGTATAAAATTAAAATCGTTAATCCTTTTAGGATTTTTTTTTCATTCATTTCATCCCTAGTATCATCTTCTTTTCCTCGAAATCTTTTGGTTACCTATTATAGAGACATTTATGCGAACCACATTAGGGCGAAGTTTTCTGTCTCTCGGGCCGATTGTTGAGATACGGTGCCAGTAAGCGTTCAAAGGAGTCAATTCTGGGAGTTTGTGTTGGTCCCCTTTACACGAATGATGACTCTTAGCAAAACTCGAGAGCATAGACTACGAGGGAGAGCTCTTACTACCTCCAAGTCAGTCAATTATCTAGAAGCGATTCTAGACTCAACAAAGAAAAAATTCCTTGATAGGCCCATTGGTCAAAGACATGAGAAATATGGGAATACGTACTTGGCGGAGGAAGACGATGGATATGTACGACTGGAGAGAAATTCTTGAGGAGGCTAGAACCCATGCAGGATTGCAAATCCAGAATGATGATGACGATAATTCTAAACTCAACTGTTATCGAAGAAAAACCGACTGTCAAAAAGTCTTCTGCAACCTTAGGCTTATACAAGAGATTTTTAGAACCAAAAGGGATCTACGACCGAAAATTTTATATTGGATTTATTAATCTATGGTGAGACCAATACTTATGTACAATTCTGTAGTGTGCTGGCCTTACACGACCATTACGCCTGCCTTATCACATTTGTATCAAAGTCAGACTCTGAAGTTCGGTCAGTCAGGTGAGATCATGACGATCTTAGTCTGTACTTAGGATAATATGTGCTGGATAACTACTTTAGATTAACCTAAGATTTAGGATAACTATGTGACGGCAATAAAGCAGCAGTAAGTACCCTGAAAATATCCAGAGTTAATTTCAAGCTAGTTCAGAATTTCAAGAACAGTTCAGAACAAGGCGCTTGGCGTTGCACTGACCAGCAAGATCAATTTAATCTGGATGTAACGACACGTATGGGGACGAGAATAAAACCAATGTCCTTGCTAGAAAGGCACCGACAAAATTTCAATTTCTAATTTAACTGAGCGGCCACCGTGCTTCGGAGGACACGTAAAGCCGTCGGTCCCGGCTAAGTAGTCGTTAAGTCATGTTAGGGGCGCTTGCGCGACCTGAAAATCCTAACGCTAGACCTTAGCCAGAAGGTTACACGAACTTTACTAGCTGGAAAGGTCTCTGGGATTTTAGAGCCACTCACTGAAGAGAATCCTGAATTTTTTGCCGCTTTCTTACTATATATATTCATACTAATGTGACCAATTTTTCATTCAGATGTTACCTCTCTGCCTCTAGACATTAAACATTAAAGTTGCAACGAGTTCTTGACTTATAGAACATGAAATTATGTTCAAGACTAAAGTAACTCAATATTACTACTTAATTATTACTAAATCTCTGATACATTACTTTGACAGATTGGTGTTTTTTGTATTTGGATCTCTCTCAAAAAATGAATCGGGATGGTCCAATTCGACAAATTCTGATTTGTAAATCATCCCATGTGCCAGTCCCCTTTCTTCTGATGCTTTATTAATAATCATGGCATCTTCCATATCGTAACCCTAAAAAAATTTACTTAAGTTAGTAACTAATCGTAATAAAATTGAAATTAGAAGATTAGAGATTAGAAATTGGAAATTTACACGTTTATCTATAAATATAAAAAAAGAAAACAGTATGTAGTGCAAATCACGATTTAGTATTTTTATGGATTTGATTTGTAATATTTTTACAATTACAATCCATTATAATCCCTTTTATGGTTAATATTAATCTGAACGTATCAAGACCCTTGGCGGCTAACATCGAAAGAGGGATTATAGTTTTAAAAAGATTCAAAAGCTGCCAAAATTCTAGATCTTAACTAATACTATAACCACTTATTATAGTTTATTTTTATGAACGAGAGAGTAATTAGCATAATTTTAACTGGTACCTCCGACCACTCCATGGGCGTGCTCAAAAAATAAATGAATTATTTCAGTGTTATAAAGTGTTATGTGTATGTAAACAAAAGTGACCTCTTTTATCACACACTATATTAGAACTGACTGGCCTACATTAAAAAGGGTTTTAAAAAATTCACATTTTTTTTAATTTTTAAAAATTACAAACGAGAAAAAGAGTTTTTAAAACCGTCTAAGGTATGTTAAATAGATGAATAAAAATATTAATATAAAACTTACAGCTACTTGTTACAAATCCAAATCAGGTTCAGAAGATGAACTTTCAGAACCAAGATTTATAATAACTGGCTCGATCATTTTATCAGTAATATTGTCCAGCTTCCACATTTTTTCCTCTTCTTTAATAGTGTGATTTACTGCCTTTTCCCAGTTTTCAGGTTTTACATTATTTACGGCCTCCAAAAACAACTGTTTAACATCATGAATTTTAAAAGTGGTATTTTTTCTTGAAACTTCACTCTTTATCTGTGCCCATACCAGTTCAATCGGGTTTAATTCACAATGATATGGTAGGGATCTAAGTACTGTCATTCCACGATTTTTGGCAATTTCATCAATTTCGTATTTTTTTAAATTTTCTTTATGAAGGGCACACAACGAATAAAGTTCCTTTCTTATAGATCCGGGATGGTACGTAATATTTTTTGAACTCAGCCAATTCTGCAAGTCTTTTTTAACCACTTGGTTGTGGGCAGTCCTTCTATAAGTCTGGAGTGATAGCTTGCATTATCCATTACTATTACACAGTTCTTAGGAAGAAGATCTATCATTTGTTCGAACCATTCTTGAAAGACATCAGCGTTCATGTCTTCATGGTAGTCACCGGTACGAGTTGATTCAAAAGTTAATAAACCACCTTCAACAAAACCGTCTGAACTGCCAATGTGTACTATTATCAGCCTGCGTCCCTTTCCTGATGGTGGGTTTAAACCAGTAGATAATTTATTTACAAAAGTGTGCCTTTGACTTGTAACAGTTTCATCCTGCCAAAATTTATTTGGTGTATGACCCTCGTTATCCATGTTTCATCAAGATAAAATATTTTTCTTTTTTGGTTTCTCATTTCCTTTATGGTTCTTAGAAAATGTCTTCTCCATATGACAATATCGCTTCTTTCTAATAAAATAGACTTTCTGGGATTCTTTTTCCAGTGGAAGCCTATTTCTTTTAAAAGTTTCCATAACGTACTTCGACTCATTTCTGGGTAATCCTTATCATCTCGAACTGAGACAAGAACTTTATCCAATGTTGGAAATTCTTGTCTAAAGAAGAATTCATGCACTTTCCGTCGAAGTCCTTCTTTAAAATGATATTCTATTTGAAATTTTGGTTTCCCTGGAGCATTACGGGGCATTTGAAAACTACCACATTTCTCTTCTTTAATAACTCTGTAAATCGTAGATTTCCCAACACCAAGTGTACTGCTAACTAACTCAACGGTCTCATCAACACTTTCACATAAACGTTTGTCTGTAAATGATTTAAAACGATTAAATATTAATGTTTTTTCATTAACTGTTAAAGGACCAATTTTTCGGCGTTTACACGGCACTTCCAAATTTTCCATAACACTAGTATACACAATAAACTGCATCTTGCAACTGAAGTACCTACTTTTAGTTAACTGTTAAGAATTTTGAATACGCCACTTGGACCTTCCTACAAAATGGAAAAACCCACTATCACATTTTCTGTGGAATAAGTTTAGAAGGTAATTATCTAGTCAATTACTGTCGTAGATTCCTGGAATTAAAGAATTAAATGTTTGATTGTTGAAACCCTTACTTCGTGGAATGCACTCATTTCAGATAAAATAAAACGTTTTATTTTATCTAAAGAATTAAACTTTATTTTGCAAATAGGTAGGTACTTATTAAACTTTTATTGGTTATATATAACCAAAAAAAAAACATCTTACATTTTTTGCAAATTCATTAGTACCTGTTAACCTCCATCACTCCGACACTGGCAACCTTATTTAGGGATTAGTAACCCTCATAACTATTGTATTCTATTCTGCTCCAACCTTTATACCTAGTGGTCATACTCAATTTAAAATTGTTTTCCTATATACTTCTGTAAACTTGTTGACAAATATCTGTTTTTCATTGAGTCACCCGTATCAACAGTTTAGGGATTTGCATACATAATTTATTGTTTTATTACTCTCTCATACATAAAAATACACTATAAAATACTTACAGTATAACTGATAACAGCTACGATAGCATTCGTGCCCATAGCAAAGTCATCTAACAAAATATTATCGTGATGTACAGGCCTGAATAGCGGAGTTCCAGGTGTTTGTAGTCGGTAAAGTTTGGTTTCTGATTGTAAATCCCACGTATGGCAAGGTGTACCCATCGTCTGTTTACCCATCTGACACTGGTACATGTTACGAGGTGACTGATTGCAATCGGGCATAGGTATAAGTTGAGCTAGATTTGAAAGAAACGCTGTTTTGGAGAGCTCCATGTGAGTCGTAACTTCTGAAAATAATTAATTTCATGATTTCATTAATTTATTAAAAAGAAAACATTATTTATATTGGGAGCTTGGGCCCCTTTTATACACGGATCAAACGTATATCAATATCAATAGTTAATTAAACAATGCAATTTACTACACAATTTAAATTGTTTCGAAAACTGTAATTTCATGGTAACAATGGTATTTATACTGTATAGATGTATTGTTGTAAATTATACATCTTACATTCCTAAATACCTACCTAAATTATAAAATTACCTTCAAGGTCTTGCCGTTAAAATTAAAATTTTCGTCACATTAAACTTTCAAGCGAAAAATATATACTTGGTTGCTTTTTTTCTATGAAAATTCTCTCAACAAGAATATGGAGAAAACCAGATGTAAAAAATACATAAGTTTAAGCTGTAAGCTATCGTGATAAGAACTGAATGGTTGCACGGCACGTAACCACTATTGATATCCTTATGAGACTAGGCGAAATTCCATTGAATATAAGCCTTGTTCTTGTACATGGGGCTTCACAGGAATCGACCAACTTTCCCCAGCCACTCGTAGGAATAAATATGAATACTCACCAACACACAAGGCAAGCACGGTGTTTGTTTGGGAAAGTATGTACATACTATACTATACATAGTGTATACACTATAATATGCTCTGATTTAATGGCATATTCTAACTTATTTGCTTCAAAATATATTAATTACTATTTAACTGGGAATAAGCCACAATTAAAGATAAAAATACGTTTATTGACGTTTTAATTTCCACTTCGGAAATCGTTCTCAAAATACAAACAGTAAATAAACAAATTTTGTTTTTTGTTACATAGTGAAAAATTCTTCTATTAATTTAATTTTATCTGACTCATTTATATTGACAATTCAGACACACGTTATGCATTTTAAAGTAGACGACTTTAAAATGATATTGCCAATATTGTTGAGTTGCGCTCCTGGGACGACTTTACTTATAAGATAGTTCGTTCGATTACATGAAATCAACATTAACTTGCGAATATCCGTCAGAAAAAAATCATAGCATGTAATTCGTCTTTAAAAAGACAAACATATGACATGATGACAGTAAAATTCTCCTGTTAGTGATTCCATATAGTAAATTGAATGAGGGAAAAACCAGGAAAAAAACCTCATAATAAGATAAACCTCATCAAGACCATTAAATGTTAGAATAAGTGAACATCAATCTTATATTAAAACTAGAGAATTTGATAGATCTCAAATATGTAAACACGCATGGGATAATGAACATAGGGTTCAATGGAATAATTCAAATGTAGTCCTAAAAGAAACGGATGGTAAAAAAAGAAAAATCAAAGAAGCGGCTCTAATTATGCTAAATGAGGCCAATTGTGTCGCAAATTCCTCGGCAGAATGTAGTAGGATCTGGTTACCAATATTAAAAGAGGAAGTTATTAATAAGAAAATACCAGTATTAGTAAGTCAGTAACATATAGAGGATACATCATTTATGTTTTTTAAATAACGAAATATATAAAATCAGAATTTTGGTGTTTATTGAAGGTAAACTAAATGCACGAACTAATACTTACCATGCCGGGATAGTTACCATGCCAGGTTTTTTCCTGGTTTTTTCCTCATAATTTACTATGGAATCACTTAACAGGAGAATTTTACTGTCATCATGTCATGTGTTTGTCTTTTTAAAGACGAATTACATGCTATGATTTTTTTCTGACGGATATTCTCAAGTTAAAGTTGATTTCATGTAATCGAATGAACTATCTTATAAGTAAAGTCGTCCCAGGAGCGCAACTCAACAATATTGGCAATATCATTTTAAAGTCGTCTAATTTAAAATGCATAATGTATGTCTGAATTGTCAATATAAATGAGTCAGATAAAATTAAATTAATAGAAGAATTTTTCACTATGTAACAAAAAACAAAATTTGTTTATTTACTGTTTGTATTTTGAGAACGATTTCCGAAGTGGAAATTGAAAAGTCAATAAACGTATTTTTATCTTTAACTGTAGCTTATTCCCAGTTACATAGTAATTAATTTAAAATGCCACAAGAAAATAGCTTCAAAACAATATCAAAATATATTGTTTCCGGTTATTTCATAAAATCTCGTAAAATTGTTAAACTGGCTTAAACACATGTCTGGTTTTAAGTACGGAAAATGTGTCATTCTCTTTTGTATTTTGTGTCACAAATATAGAAACTGATGTAAAGTATCATGTTGCCGTGACAACTGACTTAAATTATAGTCATTCAAAATCGTCCTACAATAGGGTTGATTTATGATATGCATTTGTCCATAAACCACATAGCTGCTAGAGAGTTCTTTCTGACCATCTTAAGTCTCAAGACACACTTCTTCACGAGGCAGCTAATAAAACTCATCCAGTTTGATCGTTTCTCGTCCTATCGAGCCTCGGTGTTCCCGGGCGTCTCTTAACGTCGCAACGTGGTACCAACGCTGTTCCACCGGGCTACGAATACATCAATATACCAAAGGTGGGTCTATGTTTTTTGTACAGACAACAGTATGAGTTAAGACCAGTTAATTTCGTAATTTATTTACAGTCAAAATATTGCATTTTTTCTTCATTATTATTTCTAAATTCATTTAACCAGCGATCTCTAAGTTTTATACAAAACAGTGTTTAAATGTCAAAAACTAGACCTCGAGAAATCAACCCCACTCAAAGTTCGCCAAGAAGATAAACCTCAACGTCGCTACATACAATTATTCGATCACTTAATGTCGAAGAAAGATTCGAAGAAATGGAGGAAGAACTTTCAAAAGTTGATTGGAATATTGTGGATAACAGTGAAGTTAGAAAAAAATGAGAGAGTCTTATCACACTCATACCAGGCTACTTATGGTACAACAAAGGAGAAGAAGAATCAACAGTCGGGGGCGTGGTTTCTCTACGTACAAAAGAAGTGCCGCCAGAATCATGTCGATAAATCAACTCTCGACAAGAGTGGTCTACTTATATCTTAAAGATCATTCAGGTGTACGCCCTTACCATAAATTCTGGCCACTGGGAGAATTTCTGACCCCTCTGAAACGTTTAAATGACTTTATAACTCGTAACTCATAATTCGTGACTAGTGCAACAAAATAGCAACGTTTGTCAATGATAGGACTATGGCCGAAAGAAGGTTTATTCTTGTAAGAATTATGGTATAAGCACTAGAACCAGTAAAGTCTTCAATAATATGCTTGACTCAAATGAATAACATGGCATGTATTCCAATATAGCGATTATTAGCGCATATAACAAACTTATCCCATTCCGTTTTCTATATCTTGTGAGTTTTATTTATTTTTCCTACATTTCTGAAACAATTATATACTTGACCTTGTTTATCGCCGATTTAGAGATATCTGTGGAGCAGCTAAATCATTCCCTAAAATTTCACATTCGTGACCTTCTTCTACGATCAGGATTTCTTTTTATTTCGATTTGCAATATATTTTGAAAAGTATTTTTATAGTCGGATCAAATATTCGAGCTAGCTTTCTTCTTTTATAGTCAACATAAATTCCGATTCCTTCCTTATCCCGCGTATCACTTACATATTTGTCACTCCATCGACCGATTTCCTTTATAGTATCCGACAGTATAATATATTGTATATTTGTCTCGTTAGAATAATAAATAATGGCAAAAATCGCGCCACGTTTATTTATGTAATACTTGTATAAAATCTGAGTTTAGTTGCGGTAACATACAAAAACTGCATACGAAAGTTGAACTCTTTACCTTTCAAACGCATCTTGATTTTTGTCGATAGGTCACTTGAATAAAAAAATATCGAATTTTTACCGTCAAGCTGAAACAAATTTTATTAAACATTGATTTCGCGCAAGTCACTGACATGCAAAATCGACGGTCGCTTCAAGCCTATTTTCTAAGAGAACGATTCATTCTACACAAAAAATGTTTATGAACATTTTTGTTTAAAATTATCTCAGCTACATTTTTTATTTGAAATTTTTTTTCTACAGTGTATTTATGTTATTATATTTAACAATGTTAATATAATTGTATAGTATGTCTATGATTGCCGTAAGTCAATTAAACCGGATTAATTTTTCTATGTACACCACATAAACAACACGGGTTCCCTCTAAAACATGGCGAAAATAAAACATGGTCTGCGCGAAGGAGATGCACGTACTTAATTTTCCATGGAGAGTGGGCATTCTGATTGTTTATTATTCTGTGGCTGGAGTATGTACAGTAAGTACCTACACTTCTGACCAAGTATGACAAGGATATGTCCATGTCCTGGAAACTTGTATGAATGACCTTGGTTCATTCCCCCATTACTTTAACCCATAGAGAAACTTTAACCCCAGCGAGTTAATAAAATGAAATGGCAGCCTATCTCTCTCATGAAGACTTTAACCAATCATTTATTTTAACACAGTCTCGGCACAGTATAATAAACAAACAGAATGCCCACTCTCCATGGAGAATTAAGTACGCGCATCTCCTTCGCGCAGACGTACGACAAAATTAACCCGGTTTAATTGACTTACGGCAATCATAGACATACTATACAATTATATTAACATTGTTAAATATAATAACATAAATATAATATAATAAAACATAAATATAAACAATTACATAACCTCACAAATCATTTACTATTTATAACTGGGAATAAGCCACATTAAAGATAAAAATACATTTATTGACGTTTCAATTTCCAATTCGGAAATCGTTCTCAAAATACAAATAGTAAATTAAACAAATTTTGTTTTTTGTTACATAGTGAAAAAATTCTTCTGATAATTTAATTTTATTTGACTCATTTATATTGACAATTCAGACATACATTATGCATTTTAAAGTAGACGACTTTAAAATGATATTGCCAATATTGTTGAGTTGCGCTCCTGGGACGACTTTACTTATAAGATAGTTCATTCGATTACATGAAATCAACTTTAACTTGAGAATATCCGTCAGAAAAAATCATAGCATGTAATTCGTCTTTAAAAAGACAAACACATGACATGATGACAGTAAAATTCTCCTGTTAGTGATTCCATAGTAAATTATGAGGGAAAAACCAGGAAAAAAACCTCATAATACTATCCCGACATTGTAAGTATTTGTTCGTGAATTTAGTTTACCTTCAACAAACATCAAAATTCTGATTTTATGTTACGTTATTTAAAAAACATAAATGATGTATCCTCTATATGTTACTGACTTACTAATACTGGTATTTTCTTATTAATAACTTCCTCTTTCAATATTGGTAACCAGATCCTACTACATTCTGCCGAGGAATTTGCGACACAATTGGCCTCATTTAGCATAATTAGAGCCGCTTCTTTGATTTTTCTTTTTTTACCATCCTCAAATATGTAAATTTGATAGATCTCAAATATGTAAACACGCATGGGATAATGAACATAGAGTTCAATGGAATAATTCAAATATAGTCCTAAAAGAAACGGATGGTAAAAAAAGAAAAATCAAAGAAGCGGCTCTAATTATGCTAAATGAGGCCAATTGTGTCGCAAATTCCTCGGCAGAATGTAGTAGGATCTGGTTACCAATATTGAAAGAGGAAGTTATTAATAAGAAAATACCAGTATTAGTAAGTCAGTAACATATAGAGGATACATCATTTATGTTTTTTAAATAACGTAACATAAAATCAGAATTTTGATGTTTGTTGAAGGTAAACTAAATTCACGAACAAATACTTACAATGTCGGGATAGTATTATGAGGTTTTTTTCCTGGTTTTTCCCTCATAATTTACTATGGAATCACTAACAGGAGAATTTTACTGTCATCATGTCATGTGTTTGTCTTTTTAAAGACGAATTACATGCTATGATTTTTTCTGACGGATATTCTCAAGTTAAAGTTGATTTCATGTAATCGAATGAACTATCTTATAAGTAAAGTCGTCCCAGGAGCGCAACTCAACAATATTGGCAATATCATTTTAAAGTCGTCTACTTTAAAATGCATAATGTATGTCTGAATTGTCAATATAAATGAGTCAAATAAAATTAAATTATCAGAAGAATTTTTTCACTATGTAACAAAAAACAAAATTTGTTTAATTTACTATTTGTATTTTGAGAACGATTTCCGAATTGGAAATTGAAACGTCAATAAATGTATTTTTATCTTTAATGTGGCTTATTCCCAGTTATAAATAGTAATTAATTTACAATGCCACAAGAAAATAGCTTCAGAACAATACTCACAAATCATATGTCTGTGTCATGTCTGTGTTATGTGTTTCCTTCTAAAACATGGCGCGCGTGCTGAAAAACTTCAAAGGCGGCATCTGAGAGTGGGCATTATCTTTAACTTTCGTTTGCATTTATTCTTAGTAATTTTAATTTAAGTTGGTTACTTAGTTTTTAAAGTTTAGTTTGAGTTACCTATTGTAGCAAAGAATTTTTGTGTTGTGCTAGTAAAAAAACTAAACATGATGAAGTATTATTGTTCCGTTGTGTACAAATCATGGAAAAATTACAAAAAGGATGATGATAGTAAGTTGTCAGGAAGAAAACAATAATAGTATTTAACATTTGTTTCTGAAAATATGTGTAATAAATATTATGTAATTAGTTTATAACTGTTTTTTCTTAAACAATAAATAAATATAGGTATATCTAAAAAAAATTGTGCATCTTTTATATATCCTTATTTTCCTGTAAATTTTAATTAGTAACGAAATAACCCGCAAGAGGCGCTAAAGGGTATGTATGTAAGGGGTGTCCATTCGAATTTGCCGCCAAAAGATGATTAGTATTGACCCTAAAGGGTCCTAACGAACGAAATATATACATTGAGTTGCCTATCTATTTCTACTATTATATTATTTATCTACGGATATGTCAAATAGTTTTAAACTACTGGGTACCAATAGTTTTAAAAGTTTTAAATAAAACGTCCGCTAACTCAGTAAGGAGCCACATTTTATTTAGGTGATTTAGATTAAAGCTGAATATTTTAAGCTCAAGAATCTATAGTTAAAATATTTATAGTTTATTATAGTTTAATATTTAATAGTTTAATATTTATATATCTATAGTTAAAATATATGCAGATGATACAAACATTTTAGTCAGTGGTAAAGACATGTCTGTTCTAAGTTAATGTTTATGTGTATATTCTGTGTTAATGCTAGTTTAGAGTTCCAGAAAGCTAAAGACTGGTTTTCTATGAATAGGTTGGTTTTAAATCAAAATAAAACAGATTTTCTTTTGTTTAAGACAAATTATTCACATTCAGATATGCCATACAGTATTATTGTAAATAATGACACTTTAAATATTAGCAGCAGTACCAAATTTTTAGGATTATATATTAACAGTTTTTTATGTTGGGATAAACATGTTGACCAGTTATGTATGTCTTTGAGTAAAGTGATTTACAGCTTTAGAGTTCTAAAAAAAATACATGAATAGTAACTCATTAAAAACAGTGTATCATGCTAATTTTGAAGCAAAATTTAGATATGGTCTAATAAATTTTGGCCACAGTAGGGACATAAATAATGTATTTCTGGTTCAGAAAAAATAATCAGAGTTATGTTTGACTTAAAAAGTAGGGAATCATGTAGAGGGCATTTTAGGAGTAATAATATTTTAACAGTTTACGCTGTATTTATTCAAGAATGCTTACTGTTTCTATATAAAAATAAAATACTCTTTAGGAACTTTGAGCCCAATAGTATAGTAAATACCAGGTTATATAATTATAAAATTCCAATACACAGGTTAAGTATAACAGAACAAAACGCTCTTTATTGCTGCATCAAATTGTTTAATAAACTGTCTGAACCTATTAAAAGGGAGGAAAGATTAAGTGTGTATAAACATCAAATATTTAAATTACTGGTAGCTCTTGAGCCATATTCTGTGGAGGACTATTTGCATATGTAACGGTTAGGAATAAGTAAATAATATTTTCGTTTGTGACACTGTTTTTTTTTAATAATTTTATGTTCACGGAATGTATATTATTTTCTAAAAATAAAGATATTGTTATGTTATGTTATATTTCCAATTATTAATAAAACACCCTGTATACATTTATCTACTGAAATAAATAGTTCGAATATTAATTGATACATATTTACGGTTAGGTATATAATTTTAGTATGTATTCGTCATTATCCCAAAATATTGTACTTTTAATTTCCATATACACGAAATGGTTTACTTAATCTTTAATTTGTTGAAATTACATACCAATTTCTTTATTTTTATTTTTGTTGCGTCAAATATTCCAAAAACCGGTCCTGTATGGTTCGATTTTTGTTGGTTGGTTTGTTGATATGTGCCTGGGTATTTGCGGTAAACTTCAATTGTGTTACTTCTCATTCTTTCTTGTGAAAATGTCATTTAGCTATCTCTATCACAGGATTTGAATATTGAAATGTGAACAAAAACCAAACATAAAATAATCACATGATTTTAAAAATAAAACGGGAAAACGTGTTTTAATGCGGAATCTGGAAAATATCAATTTTCATTGGAAGACATAGACGTACATAACTCAATATCGAAAATCGTTATCACTTGAGACAATTCCATTTAATTACGTAACCGCCAAATCATCAATCTTAAAAAGTCGATTACAATGTGAGGTTATGTTTATGTCATTATTTGGCATTGGTACTCGAGCTGTGAGAACATTTGCTTCAGTTGGATTTCACACTATGAAACCTAAAGTTGTGTTCGTATTAGGGGGCCCAGGAGCCGGAAAAGGCACCCAAAGCCAGAAAATAGTCGAAACTTTCGGGTATACCCATTTATCAGCCGGCGATTTGTTAAGGGAAGAAAGAAACAACCCTGGATCACAGTATGGGGAACTTATAGAGAGTTACATTAAAGAAGGTAAAATTTGTGATGTATATAAATATCCTTCAAACGAAATAGTTTACTATCTTACTCTATAAAATAATACAAAGGTTAAATTCTCTGATTAAGACCTTGGAAAAATATATTTTTAATATAAATTTATAATTCTATAAAGGAAATACTACCAGTTATATTATCGTTTTTAGTGTATATTATCTTTTGAATATATTAAACAAATATATGGAAACAATAAAATATTTTCTTTAAAAATGTACAGTAAGTAAAACAAACATTTTAATCAAAAATAGGTTGACAAATATTTTTGAATATTGTTTTTAATACATTGTTAAAATAAAAACACTTGAACTAGTTTATTTATTCTTCTGTATTTGTTTTGGAATATCCACAAAATAAACACAGCAAAACTGTTTGAGAAATTTAATAAATATATATATATTACTGTAAAACCTCCATTAACCAAAATATTTGGGGGGAGGCCGTTTCGGATAACAAGAATTTCAGTTAAAAAAACATTGTTTTTATGGTATTCTTTGGCAAAGTATTGGTATTAAACAATACTATGAGGTAATTTGGTAATATTTTCTAATAAGTAAATACAGAATAAAGTAATAAAATTAAGGAAAATCAACAAGTTTAACATGCTTATTTAAAGAAATATTATATTTTCTTTTGCGTTATCGTTTGGCAACGATGTTTTCCAGCTATATATCTCCATCGTTCGTTTGCAGAACGTCGTAAGTTTGCTTATTCCATCGTTTGACGAAACGTAAAGCAATCTGAAAGGGACAAAACTTTATACAATAACAACAAAAATTAAGAACTCATTAGGTCTACTGTATAAAATTCTTATCCTTAAGGCATTGAAAATCTCGTCGGCGGTCTCATGCTGCCTGTTGTCTGTTGGGTCAACATCTTCCTCGTCTGATACACTCAGATTGTCTGGATGGATGTCCTGGTCGATGAATTCAGTTTCTGAGTCATCGGCTGCTAACCACTCACATATCTCTTCTAAGTTAATTTCATCACATCCCGACAAATTTTTTATTAAAGGTTTAATTTCTTCTGTCATTTCTTTACCATTTTCTTCTTCAAGACCGTCAATCAAAATCCTATCTAAAAGTTAGTTCCAGCATTTTTCCAAAGTTGAAGATTTGATCTTGGCCCAGAACTTAGCACACCGATAACATATTTCATTGTTGAAGATTTAATAACAGAGGTCTTAAGAATTCTCCTCTACAATGTCTCTCGAATGTCTTTATTACTCCCTGGTCTAACAGCTGAATTAAGCTTGTGACCTTCGGTGGCAAAAATCTGACAATTATCACTATTGTGTAGATTTTGAGGGTGAGTTGGGGCATTGTCAACAAGCAACAATGCTTTGATTAGAAGGTTTTTTTATTTTAAAAAGGATTATATACTTGGGACGAATTCATTTTCGAACCATTCTGAAAATAAAGTGGTCGACATCCTTGAGCGTTTTTGGCTTCTACAAAAACTGGAAGTGCTTTTTCTCAAATATCGTTTAGAGCTCTTGGTTTTTTTTTATTTCCCAACACACATAGGCATCGATCGATGAGTGAAATTAATGGAATTGTTTACATTTTGCGATAAAAATTTACTTTTTATTGACGAAACTATTGAAACTGTCAGCCGTTTCGGTTAAACGATGTTTCGGTTAAGGGAGGTTTTACTGTATGTTCATAGCTTGTCAATAGCTATATTATGTCCTTGCTTTAAAAAACAGTAGTCCTTATACAAATACAATTGCCCTTATACAGCTAACAAGATTTTTCAGCCAAAAAATGCATATTTGACTGGGAATTTCCTTTTCTTGTTTTATTAATTTTAACAGGTCATATTTATCATTTTGTAAGATATGGTGAAAATGCCTAAGTTTCCTTTTTTATAGTAAATAAAGCTCCCAGTTTAATTCCTACTTTTAATTTTTAAGATTGTGTGTAAGATACAATTTTTAATTTTATGACTGGGGCGCTTTTAAGTTATTGCAAGCAATAAATATCTTAAAAATGTAATGTAAGAGAATGCAGAGAATACATATATAAAGGTTTTCGTAATGAAATTGTCAACTTTATTAATTTTTAATAAACTATAAAGTGGTAATCTCTTAATGGGTATAGTATCATAAATAAACAATATAAAGTGACACTTCTGTGAATGATTTGCTAAATTGTGGGATAAGTTATTTAAAATGATTTTTATTAGCTTTATCAGCTAATAGTATCACTTCATAATTATTAAAAAAAAAATTAATTTCTTCATGTTACTTGCAAGATAATGCAACCTCTTAAATGATAATTAATCTATAGAGTCTATAATAGTTGCAATGTTGTATTGATCTTAAATTTTTGTACTCAGTATTTTGTCTAAACTTCACCTACTTAATTTATCTTTTTCTTAATTTTTCAAATTTCAAATTTATCTACGACATTTATCTGATTATTATATATTTTCTTTTTATTAAGTTAAATGAATTTCTATTTTACTTATGCCTTCTTTTCACTTTTATATTTGGTTTTGGTTGTACATCTAATCTAATAATAATATTATATAGCATTGATCTATCCATAGCTCTTTGTTTTTTATCCATTGATTTATATATTCATGTTTTATTCATTCTCATCTTGATTACCTTAAGTACCAATATAATTTGGAAAACTCTTGCACCAAGGTTATGTTCCAGTAATACGAATTGGGTCCAATTCAAAGAAGAAATCAATGAAAAAATATCTCCTGACATTCGACTCAAATACAAAAACGATATTGAAGAAGCTGTAAAATACCTAACGGAACAAATACAACAGGCCGCTTGGAAAGCTACTCCTGTAAAGGAAAAAACCATTGATGAAAGGTATAGTATACCCCTCCACATTAGAACACTAGTAGAAGAGAGAAGAAGAGCCAGTCGCAAATGGCAAGGAACAAGAAACGCGATAGATAAAACAAATCTAAACAAGCTCACACACAGACTTCATTCCGCTACTTAAACAGCCAAAAACGAATCCTTTGAAAGATATGTCACAAACCTTTCTCTTGACGACAACTCTATTTGGAAAGCCATAAAGAAATTCAAAAAGCCAGTAGTAATGAAATCACCAATTAGGAAAAATAATGGAACCTGGGCTCGATCAGATATAGAAAAATCCAACAGATTTGCAGAATATCTACCAACTGTCTTCTCCACCCCACAGGTCAACGATATTAACGATAAGAACATTATAGACTTCCTTAATGCACCCTGTCAGCTATCATTACCACTAAAATAATTCTCACCAAACAAAGTCCATAACGAAATCATCCTGCTTAACCCTCATAATGCTCCAGGATTTGGCCTTATAACTGGCGAAATCTTAAAAAATCTCACAAGAAAAGGTGTCGTCCTAATGACCATTATTTTTAATAGCCTCCTGAGACTATGCTATTTTCCAGTGCAATGGAAGTATGCACAAATTATAACGTTACCTAAACCTGGTAAATCTCTAGCTGAAGCCAGTTAGTATAGAGTAGAGTAGAGTAAATTTTTATTTGCATAAATTTTTAAACATAATTGAGCAAATAACGTCACATTATTAATTAAAGATTAAAAAAAATATATATTGACATCACACATTTAAAATATATCAACATTAACAAGGCTCTTGTATTATATTCATGATTGGGAAGCAGGTGATAAAACAAAGAAAAAATTTTAAAAAGGAACATAATACATTCAAATGTATAGATGGCTGAGAAAGTGAGTATATTGAGTGACTTGAATCGGCCTCTACAAGATTCTCAAGCCTTAGTCCTAAGATTACCCGGACTGTCTTTTTTGGACTATAAAGACAGTTGAGCTATCTACTACAGCACCCCAGAAGATTACTCCATATTGCATAACAGAATAAAAGTTTGCATAATATCATCATCATCATCATCATCATCATCATTCAGCCCATACTCGTCCACTGCTGAACATAGGCCTCCCGTAGTTCACCCCACAAATTTCTGTCCTGAGCCGCCTGCATCCAGTTTTGATGTGTCCGTTTCAGGTCATCCGTCCATCTTGTTGGTGGTCGTCCTCTATTTCTAAAGGCATCTTGTCTGGGTCTCCACTCAAGAATGCGTTTTGTCCATCTGCCGTCCTTCGTTCCCGCGACGTGCCCTGCCCAGTTCCATTTTAAGGTTGATATTCTTTTGATTGCGTCGGTTACTCCCGATCTACGGCGCAATTCTGTGTTGGGTATTCGGTCTCTCAGGGTTAATCCCAACATGGACCGTTCCATTGCCCTCTGTGTTGTTCGAATTTTGTTTGCGGACGTCTTAGTAAGTGTTAGCGTCTCCGCACCATAGGTTAGAACTGGCAGCACACATTGATCGAAGACTTTTCTCTTCAAGCAGATGGGAAGGGCTGATTGGAAAACATCTCTTAGCTTTCCATAAGCTGCCCATGTCAACCCTATTCTACGTATTAGTTCATTGGTCTGGTTATCTCTACTTAAGCGAATTTCGTGCCCCAGATATTTGTATGCTGATGTTTGTTCTATACTTGTTCCAGCTATGTTGATGTTCTCACTCAGAACAAGGTTTGTCATCACTTGTGTTTTTGAGTTATTGATCTTTAAACCCACTTGTGTAGAGGCATGGTAGAGTCTTTCGCACATTTTGATGGCATGATCTATGCGGTCTGTTATCAGGACTATATCGTCCGCGAACCTGAGGTGACTAAGCTGCTCTCCATTTATGTTTATGCCCTTTTCGTCTAGGTTTGCACGCTTACACATGTATTCCAATAATGTTGTAAACAGTTTTGGTGAAATGGTGTCTCCCTGGCGAACTCCGCGATGAATTTTGAACTTGTGTGTATCTTCATGGAGTCTGACGCATGCCGTGGCATTATCATAGATATTTTTGATGACAGTGGTGTAGCGGTGATCTATTCGGCACTCTTTTAAAGCTTCTAGCATTTTCTGGTGGTTTACTGTGTCGAATGCTTTCTCATAATCCACAAATATTAGGACGAGGGGTTTATTGTACTCTATACATTTTTCGATGAGGCTTTTAATAACTTGTAGATGGTCGTTTGTGCCGAAGCCTGACCTGAATCCTGCCTGTTCGCATCATTGGTAAAAGTCCATTTTGTTCGAAAGTCTGTTTGTTATGACTTTTGTAAAAAGCTTGTATATGTGTGAGATGAGGCTGATTGGTCTATAGTTTACGAGATTTGTTAAATCTCCTTTCTTAAACATTAGAATGATCACTGCATTTTGCCATTGTGATGGTGTTGTTCCTCTTTCAAGGCATTCTGTGAAAAGTATGGAAAGCATTTGTATCAGTTTCTCGCCTCCTAATTTTATGGCTTCGGCAACGACCCCGTCGTCGCCAGGTGACTTGTTATTTTTCATTTGTAGGAGAGCTTTTTTGATTTCATCAACAGTAACATCTGGTATGTCTTCCGAGCCCTGGTTTAGAACCTTTGGTATGTTGTCAGTTGGAACATTTTCTTCTGTTTTGCTGTAGAGTTCGCTGTAAAATTGTCCGACAGTTTGTAGAATTTCCTGTTTATCTGTTATTATTTCGCCCTTTGTGTTTTTCAGTTTGTAAATATTTTTCTTTCCTATTTGCTGTTTCCTTCTGAAGACTTTTAAACTTTTGTTCTCTTCTATGACTTTTGATATCTCTCTGGTGTTGTAGTCTCTTATATCTTTTCTGATGTTCTTAGTGATTTGTTTGTTTAGTTGTCTCATTTTTGTTAGATTGGTTCTGTATTTATCTGTTAGTTGTCTTCTTTCCTCTAATAGAGTTTTCGTGCTTAGACTTAGTTTTTCTTCGTCTTTTTGGTTTTTTGGGCAACATTTTTGGGTACAGGCAACCAGTAAAATCCCCTGGTCTAGATAGCTCTTTAACACTCTTAATGAGTAGCAAACTCTATTCAGTTTTTTTGTTGTATTTTGTATTTGCTCCCCCCAATTCAGATTCTCGTCAATATGAATACCAAGAAATTTAACTGATCTAGTTCCGTGTTTTGTGATAGAAAATTAATTGTATCTGGAAACTATTCTCCTTCCGACTTTATCAAAAGTCTTTGAAAGGTTAATCCTTAACAGAATAGAAACAATAATACCTATAGAAAATCTTATCCTAGATCATCAGTTTGGTTTTCGCTCAAATCACTCAACCATACAACAGTGCCATAGATTAGTCAACAAAATACAAGAGTGCCTAGAAGGGAAACAAATCTGTCTATCAGCATTCCTCAATATACAGCAAGCATTTGATAAAGTGTGGCACGAGGGTCTTCTCTTTAAAATAAAACCTCAGCTACTTGACCAAATCTACCTCCTCCTTAAATCATACTTGTCCAACAGATACTTGAAAGTTCAATACGAGGGTGCTCTATCCAACTACCACCAAATAAAATCCGGAGTACCTTAAGGCAGTGTACTTGGCCCATTCCTTTACCAAATCTTCACTGTTGATATTCCTATTAGCGAAAATACACTAATGACAACATTTGTGGATGACACTGGTATACTAGCATCAGACATCAATGAAATATTAGAGCATTTAAAAATTGCAAAATCATCTCAATGAACTAAAACACTGGCTTAAATGCATAAATGTAAAACCAAACAAGTCTTGTCAAGTAAATTTCACAAATCGAAGAATTAGATGTCCACAACTACACCCAAATAATTCACCTAACAAATAAAAACAGAAGTAAAGTATCTGAGCCTTCATCTAGATGAAAAACTTACTTGGAAATCACATATTACAGCCAAATGACACGACACCTCTACCTAAAAGTTAAAAATATGAGCTGGCTAATCTAATTTCACTAGAAAACAAACTGACCCATCTATACAACAATACTCAAACTAGTGTGGACATACGGAATTGAGCTGTGGGGCTGTAGCAAACCCATCGAGCAATAAGACAAAAGAGGGAATCTAATCCTTATGAAAAGGAGACCAAAAAAGTGGCCTCTGATGGCGGACATATCCGGAAATGCGAATGCGCGAAATTTAAATTTTCCGACACTTATCAACAGTAGCTATATAATATTTTTCAGAATGTGTCTTAGACGAGAAAATTGTTAAAAAACTTCAATATAAGTAAGATTTCATGTGACATTTGGGACAAAGAATAACATAACCCAACTAAATTTGATGTCAAACAAGGAGAGAGACTCTCTTTCCTTGTTTAAAGTGGCCTCTAAAGATCGCACTTCCTGTCTAACAATATGTTTGCCCCCACTACCTTTACATTCCCTCTATTGTCTTTTTGCTCGATGAGCAAACCATCCAACACCAAAATACTACAGACACTCCAGTCGAAAACTATTTGTATGTTAGCTAAAGCCCCATGGTATGTGTCAAACCAAACCCTTCATGCAGACCTCAACATCCCCTTTATCAATGATGTGATTGCTGACCACTCCAGAAGGTACATGAATTGCAGTGCAAACCATCCTATCTATCTCATAGACGAATTATTCAACCCCCCACTGGTTGACAGACATCTAAAAAGACTTTGGCCAGAAGAACTAGCTGGTACTAGTAGGTAAATTCCAGAGAGTCGTCAATGGACGACACCTGCCACAAGCCAAGAACATACATCATATTTACTTATTACTGTATTAAAGTAGATTTTAAATTAGCGATAAATAAATAAATAAAAATATATTCATGTATCAATAAACAGTTTCTAATTACATATTTTATAACATTTGTCTCTTTAAGCTTCTAGACATTTATGTAAATACTTGGTATATATAGATAATAAAATTTTATATGATTGTATGAATTAAAATAAAGATTTTATGTTAGTAATATTCCTGTTAGTATAGGCTTTGCATATCATTAGATACTTAAAAAATTTAAATACTGTTTAAGCTAAAAAATCATATTTTTCAGGTAAAATTGTCCCAGTTGAGATAACTTGCAGCCTCTTAGAAAAAGCTATGGAAAAATCAGGCAAGGAAAAATTTCTTATTGATGGTTTCCCTAGGAACAAAGACAACCTAGATGGTTGGAACAGACAGGTAGCTGATAAAGTAGATTTAGAGTTTGTTCTGTTCTTCGACTGTCCTTTGGAAATATGCCTCAATAGATGTCTAAAACGTGGGGCTTCAGGTAGTGGTCGATCAGATGATAACGAAGACAGTTTGAAGAAGCGTTGCAATGTGTATCTTAATGAAAGTAAACCAATTATCGACCATTATGATGAATTCAACTTAGTGAAGAAAATAGATGCTACCCGAAATGAAGATGAAGTATTTGACCAAGTTAAAAAGCTTTTTCGAGACAGTGGAGATAACTAGGTGTAATTGTAATATGTAAAACGTTGGCCAGACTAGTCAAAACATATTTGGTTTTATACAATTCTTTGCTGTAGAATAAGTTATCTTAAGTTGTACTTAATTGGGGGCATTTTTGTTATTTAATTCATATGCAAAAACCTTTTTACAATTTACTTTTTCAAGTTGAATATATTATTTTTATTAATAAATGTCATATTTATTTGTACTTATTTTTTTATATATCAATGTTTTTTTATAAATTTTTTATAATATTTTTCTATGCCCAATATTGTGGGCTTAGTAGAGTTTGTTTAGTAACTAATAAATATTGTGCCGTTATAAAGCGAAATAGTCATAATATATTTAGATTATTTATATACTATCTTTCTTGACTATCTATTTCCCAATTTTTTTTATGTGGTACTTATTCATTTTGATATTTATACATCATTTTTCATTAACATTATGGTATTTTTAGTGATTAGTAAAGAACTTTCATACAATACAATGTCATACACAACATTTCAGAGATTTGCAGAATTAGAATTTATCTTTTAAGTCATCTTTAAGAGCGCATGAGTTGCCTTTTAGGTTATAAACTCGAGATCGGGTATAATATGCCTTTGTTTTCACGTATCACTTCTGAATATGTTACGTATTTAAAGAGGCCACCTATGGTGGTAGTGACACGTTGAGATCATCCAAAAATAAGACTATTCAAACCCAGGGATGATCATCAGTTAAATGAGTGTAACAGTTCATTGAAGGTATGTATTTTGACACAAAGTAAAGTTTGATTTTGGAATTGAAAACAACAGTGAAACAGGTCCTAGTCATCAACGAAGACAAAACCAAGTACACACGTTACTTAGGATCCTATAGCAAATGAGGAATGGGAAACAGCATTTAGAAGTCATATCTTTGAACATGCTGACAGCTTCACATACATTGGCTTGCTAGTGACTACTACCATTAAAACAAGCGAAAAAAATTAAAAGAATCTTATAAATAGGGAATACTATGGACTGAAAAGACAATTGCACTCAAGAAATATCCAAAGAAAAACTAAAATTATTACATATATACAAAACACTGCTGAGGCCGGTCCTCACATCTTCTTCTTCATGTGCCTTGTCCGTTCCAAACGTTGGCAATCAACATTGCTATTCTGACTATGTTTACGGCAGATCTGAATAGTTCAGCAGATGACAATCCGAACCATTCCAACAGGTCCCCACATACGGGGCAGAAAGATGGACTAATGCAGAATGATGTGAGACTTTTGGAGCTATAAACGATCAAGGGCAGTGGCGCAAAAGATTTAATTTCGAATTATACCAACTCTTTAATGAAACAGATGTCATAACATTCATTAAAACACAGAGACTTAGATGGGCCAGACACATAATACGAATGTCTGACAACCTGATGATGATGATGAAAGTTTGATTTTATTCTTAAGATAAAGTTGTTTATAAGTAGAAATACAGGGTGACCAATGACAAGCATTTGAAACACATATCAGACTGTACTGACTTGCCTCTTTTGAACATAGTCCTGGAGATGGCGGTTGGAGACAACAGATGAAATATTTTTAACAAATCATCACAAATTATGGTCTATGCCGACGATCTAGATCTAATTGCCTAAAAAAATATGGGTCAACAAATAAATGAGGAAGAAACTAAAATGAATGCATCAACAATCAACACAGCCAAAACCATCAGTCTCTAATTTGCTGTTGATATCTCTACCTTTGAAGTGGCGGACAAATTCACATACTTAGGCTTCCTGATCACCAATGACCTCTATAATGGAAGAAATGAAACGAAAAATAACTCTAGCAAACAAGTGCTACTTTGTGATGTGTAGACACATAAAAAAAGGAAACAAGCCAGAAAACAAAAATAACAATATACAAAACCAGTGCTGACATATGGATCGAGAACATAGACCACCTCCAAGACAGATCAAAACTTCTTACTCATATTTGAATGAAGACTCCTAAAATGAATATTCAGTGGCATCTGTGAAAATGGTATTTGGAGAAAAATGTGCAGTTATGAGATATACCACAAATAAAAACATATTTGCTGGTAAAAATGTGATATCTCTACTTAAAATAAGAAGACACAACTAATAACCACTACAGAAACGGTTCACATTAAGAAAAATTAAGAAGACACTAACTAATGCATTGATATTTCGTATAGCTATATGCACATTAGGAAGATTGTTTCCACACATCTTTCATAAAATAATGTTGATTGTACATGAACGGGTCATTTGGAATAGTTGATCTTTCCACGGTTTCATACTTTGCAGAAGATTGATGCTGCTTTGATTGTTCGTGCTGCATTCTTGTCCCATAAGAAGTTAGGACATGAATGTTACTGCAAACGCTAATGGCTTTTTGAAATATAAATTTACTATAGAATGTTGCATATAAAAAATTGCATGAAAAAACCAACTAAATCACATTGATATCACAAGATTCTTACCAAGGAATGATAATAAGTTCGATTTGACAGGAGGACAATGAACCTACTTTTCATTAATAGTTTTGGGATACTTTATTATATGCATTCTTTATTTGAGTAGCCTCCAGTTACGTTCCCTGGTACCTCTCGAAGCTGCGATTGTTGTAACTGAGTGTTGTTTCTTATTATGTTGTTTCATTTGATCTCTGAAATGATCCGTTTGGACTCTTTGGTGGAGCTCAAATTTGTTTCTCGACCTATTTGTAATAATTGTTGATAGTAGGTTAATCAAACAGTACTGAATTGAAAATTAGTTACATAAACCTTGTTGGTCTTTGAAATTTTGATGGATTCAGATATCGAAGAGCTGTTTCTATTTTTTTTTGGAGTTGCTATTTCATTCCTTCAAATTGGTTTTTGATTTATTATTTACTCTGTTTATGCATAGAATTTAAACCTAATAACACCACGAGAAGTGAATATAGGAAAGCAATGTTCAGTATTATATCTAATATAAAATATGTTATTTGTGCTTATTAATATATCAGAATATGACTACTTATGATATTTAAGCGACATTAAGTATTCCTTTAGTAACATCAGTAGTCAACAATAGCGGGTAAAAATACACAAGTGAATAAAAACGGAAGCAAAGTACAAATGACTACATATTATGACCTATAACTTAAATACTCAAAAGATTTTGTCAATTAGAAACTGTATTTACACCACAAAATGAAAATATTTATTGTAAACTCATTTGCATGTATAGCTATAGCAAATGTCTATTATGGTGAAGTTTCTTCGCGCAGATTTTAAAATTAATCAATATATGACTTACTTAAACAACATCATTGTGTAACTAGATCATGGCAGTGAAACAGTGATGAGCGCAAAAATGATAAAATAAAAGATAAGTCACTGATGAATACCAAACTTAAGTCGAAAATGCGTTATTTCAAGTACATCGTTATAATTGGCGTTTGCTGTAGTATACTAAGGAACTTATGTAACTGAAGTTACCAACTACTCAAAAATGGCATCTATGCATTCGTTTATAAATTTCACATTATATAATCATAGAAACACTACGTTATTACTTTCTTTATGACTTTTATGTGGTAAATGTTTTGTCTAGTCTGTATAGGTAATTTTGTTATATGGAAAAACCATTCCCTGTCGAATTAAAATGTTCAATCACAGTGCAAATAACGAAATTGTGAATACCTTTAGCATTTAATTTTAAGATTCCAAAACTGTTCATGTGTTCTTTCTAGTGGTGTATTCGTATATTTTAATTTTGATCTGCTATGTTCACTTTTATAAATTTTTAGTTTATTTTGTACTTTGCTATGGTATACAATTTCAGCAATACTTACTGGTAATGATCATCTTAAAAGTTATAAGATAGAACTAGCAGATTAAAATATTGAAAATGTGAAAAAAGTTAATAAAGTAAATTTTCCCGAAAAATATTTTTTGTATTATTGGACCAATGGAGTATTAAGCATAGAAAAGTACAATATCTGCAACGATCCAGTCATAACAAAAGATAAGGTATTGGAAGCGATAAAATCAACAAATAGCAACAAGGCAACAGGTCCTGATCAAGTACCGTTAGAAATAATAAAGCTAATAGAAGAGTAGATGAGAATATCGGTCGACTCATACAGGGTGTCCAGAAACTCTCCTGACAAACGAAAATGGATATTCCTCAGATAATTTTAAGACCAATATGCTCCGAAAATGCTTTCTCAAGAAGCTAGAGCTCTTTGAAGATGGTGCCTTGTAAGTACTTTTTTTAATACTTTCAGAAAACTTCTATTTAGAAAAGCGAAACCTGGTACGATCAGAGTTGAATTGATTCCATTAATTACAAATTTCTATCCCGTTCATAGGCCTCCGTTTTGGGTTGGTCAACGGTTATTTTAACGAGGAACTTTTTTGTCTTTAACTTTTAAGCATTCATCTAAAGATGCTCGATGTGATGACCATTAGTCTCTATGCATAAATTTTCCATTTAATTTTTAGTTTAATGACTTAAAACATAAAAAAGGGATATTTGTTCATTTAAAATTTAACAAAAACAGTGTTACAGTTTAAAAAACATTTCTTATTCTGAATTATTTTGTGTATCTTGGTCAGGATCCAATTTTTCCAGGATCATTGGCGACATCGTTTTTCGTTTTCAGGTTTTGATAAAATGAATGGAATGAAGGATCTATTAAAAGGCAATAAAGACAATAAGTCTTTTTTCTTTTCTGTTGCAATCTGCACTGATTCTTTGTTTTAAAAATCCAAAATTTATTACTTTGAAACGATCTTTTTCTTTCAATGAGCACTTGGCCGCCTCTTTGAGCAAATTGAAGCCATTGGACAGGTTTCCACAGAAACCGTTCGCCATCATTAGTTTTTTAAAGAATTTAAGGGCCATGTTTCGTCATAAATCATCACAAAATCCTAGAAGCACTACAAGCATGCCGCATTGACTACCGATATACAAGGTTAATCTATTATCTACCCTAGGGCATTTAGGAGATATATCAGTTGAATGTATAAATATGATACACACATCTTTTAAGAGTTATAATTGAGTAAAAGTTTTTCAAAATACAATTTTCGTACCAAGACGTTTAATTATAATATACAGGCAATAAGATTGCAGCATTTTCTTTATCCCCTATGTATTGTCTTCTTCTTCTTCTAGTTCCATGACCGTTATCGATCGTTGGATATCATGTTGGCTACCATATTCGCTATCGTGATTTTATTGACAGCAGCTCTAAATAACGATGTAGTTGATGTATGTATTGTATGTATGTATGTATTGTATGTATGTATGTATTGTAACGTTCGAAAATTATGTAGGTTTAAGTTCCAGTATAGCTTGAATTAATTTTATTTTAATACTTTTGTCCAACCCTATATAAAGTTTTCTTAAGAGATTTTTTGCGACTTCTCTGTCTCGCTCAAAGTCTGCTTATCAGAGCACTTTAGTTTTCAGGCAATGGAATAAACAATTTTGAAGAGAGAGGGACCGGCCCTGGCACGGTATGGTTAAGTTGTACTGATATCGTACTCCTAGTTTTTAATAAAAACAAGTGGTTTTATTAAATAGTTTTTTAAAATTAAAGTGTTTATCTACTAGATACTACTACGTAAGTCATCTATACGTAATTATTATTTTATTATTGTGAAAAGAAAACGTCAAATAATAAATATACACTACCGTACAATCATTTTGTGAGGTGCTATAAGCAGCTTATAGTAGCATGCGGTTGGTTTGTCAGTTACCAGAGTTGGAGTAAGGCCTTCGCCTCGGCAGCTTAAAATGACTTCACACAATGTAACATACACCTTCCGATCTAACCAGTCCAGTAAATCAACGTTCGAATATCACAAACAGTTATGCATCAGCCGCTTCACATTCTTTTCCGAGTAAGATCCAAGCAAATGTATTTAGTTGTATCGATAATGCTAAACTGCAGGATTAACTTATTCCTTTGGGCACAATCATCAACCCAAAAATATTTTTTCATTTAGATTATCTCATAATAGAATCTGTATGTATTTTGCAAACAAAACCGTAGTAGATAAATTCATGACACAACATGGCTCTATAGAAGTACTCGGCGAAGTTGTAACAGTACGAAGACTTGTCTCTCCAGCAGAAAGACTAGTCTTGTCTGGAGTCTGCCCGTCAATTCTTCATCAAGTATTGGTTTAAGAATTACATAATATTAAAGCTTATGTCCCCAATAACATTTCTGAAAATTAGCTCAACTCTCCCCGAATATAGTCACATATTGAGCTTTCGGAGGCAAGTTTATATAAGCCCTATAACATCAACAATTCCAGATTCTATTGTAATAAATTTCGACCAAACATCTTACCGCATATTTTTGTCACAAGGTACACTCACCTGCTTTATTAGCAAAAATACAGGACACATATCATCCCAATGCAATAACAGTTCAGTAACGGAATCAACTCATATTGAGTCAAACAATGAAGTACCAAATCAAACAGCTTCAACAAGTATACTACACAAGGTACCAAACACCCATCAGTCATCAAGTTATCTATTATCAAATCCGAGCATATCACCTACACCTACAAATCTCCATGACAAAGAAATTACTAATACTCCTACTCATAGCAACACTTTCAATCAACCTCATTCAGCGGCAATACCGTTTCCACAAACTTCGGAAGCAATATCCTCCAATCCATCAGCTCCTTTTTCATTAGATACAACTGCAGAAAATTCTAATAAAACTGATACATCACCACAATTTTCTGAAACAACCATTTCAACCAATTTTATAAATAAAACTTCAAGCTCGACTTCTGTCACTACCAATGAGTTTGTCCCAGTACTTCCAAATGTAATAAAGCCACACCTAAGTGAAGAGATCGACACGCCTCCTTTATACTCAGCAATTTCATCAGAAAATTTGCATTCGTTTTAAATTACCACCAATTATCCTTACTGATTGATAAGGTCCAAGGCTCCCCCGACACTATTAGCGTCGTTAAAGAATTTAAAACTGATATGGCTGGTTTACTCCATCTTTTACAAAGCAGCTATCAATATGAAACGATATATCTACAAAACGCAAGTTTACAAAAGAAACTACACAACCATTTAGAGAAAGAGATTTCTGACTTAGATAGTGACTCTTCTGTAGACAATTGTTCAGTATCATCTAACTCCGAATCTGTTAACAACGTTCAACTCGATACTTCAATGGAACATTGATTGATTTTTCCATCGTCTCCTATGCTACAGCTTTTTTTATCTGAATATTCTCCAGATAGGTATTATTTGTCTACAGGAGACAAACTTAAAGACAAATCAGTTGTACAATTCAAAAAATTTCACTTAAATTTTCCCAGAAAACAATCTTCTTTTCCGTTAACCCCCAACATGTGAACATAGTGAATTATCTCAGATTCATAACCAGTTTGTACAATCTGTAGGTGTTTAACTTTGTTATTTATATTTTGTTAAGTCGCTAATAACCTTTTGATGGATGCAACATCTTTTTCTAATAAAAAAAATTTGAAGAGAATTTCTTTTGTTTGGTCCAATTTGGCTTAGGGTAAATCGTTCCTATTTAATATCTGATAAGTTTAACCGCTTTAAGAATTGCGGTTTGGTTTCGAACGCGAAAACAAACTACGAGATTTGTTTGTAATAAAAGTTCTTAAGATCTTATTTAGTCGCTACAAACACTAATTGTTTCAAACATTACGTTTTGTTTAATTTATTCGATTGGTTGGGAGATGCCACACGACACGAACTTGACGTAATTCTTTTGAAAGCCGACTTGGAAATCACATCCACATCGTCGCTTTATACTAGATTTTTGTGTAAAGTGATACATACAGTGCGTCTTCATCTCCATCACCAGCTTAGTGTTTTGTTATTTTTTTTATAAGGTTTCCGTTTTTTTTTTAACAATTTGTAGTGTAAAAAAACACTAATTTTTCCTATTAACTATTTCCTATTAGCATTCCTATTAAAATTTTTCTACTTAAAAATAGAATATTATGTATAATAAAATACTTACTATCATATGCTTCCTCTGGAGTAACACATATATCCAAATAAACTTGTTCGAAAGTCCCAACTAACTCAATTTGATTCGTGTATAAATTCTTCAAGGGTCGCATCATTCTAGCTGGTCCCGTGAACAAAAATATTCCTGGATATTGAGCAACTGTTCTTTTTAACGGTACTAAAGCTATCTCGAGTGTTTGAGGGATGACTTTGCCCTTTATCTTGAACAGTCTTAGTTTCTGAACAATTCTGGCTGCATCGTTTATGTGGACATATCCAATGATTCTGCCATCAAGTTGCACTACATAACTACTTTTCAAATCGATCATGTCGGCGTTTTTAAGAGGCTTCATACCCAATTCCGTTAATACCAAAGGAATGTTACTAAAAAAAATATTCAAGATAATCATAACATATACGAAATCAACCTTGTAAGAAATAGATCCCAGATACGGTAATCAAATACTATATAGATACAGAGCGAAGACCCTTTGCTCCCTTTTTTCAAGATGGCGGAGAGACAAGGATGGCAACCCCACAAACTTAAACTTACAATAACCACCCCCACACATCAAAAAAATAAAATTGCGTCATACTTTGTATATAGCTCATACTTTTAGGTTTAAAATTCCAATGTGTCTGAAAAGAAAAGTATTTAATCAATGTATTTTGCCAGTGATGACCTATGTCGCAGAAACGCTCACAAGAACAACAGTGAGTAAACTACAAGTTGCGGAAAGAGCAATGGAGAGAATTATGTTAGGGATTTCTCTACGTGATAGAATACCCAATGCTACTATACGCAAAAGATCAGGAGTAACAGACGTTATTGAAAGGATAACAACACTAAAGTGGAACTGGGCAGGTCATGTAGCAAGATCAGTTGATGACCGGTGGACAAAAAGAATTTTGGAATGGAGACCCCGAATACAAGCTTACAGAAATAGAGGTCGACCCCCAACGAGATGGACAGATGACATAAAAAGAGTGACTACAAATTGGATTCAGATGGCGCAAAATTGGACTAAGTGGAAAAGCATGCGAGAGGTCTATGTTCAGCAGTGGACGTTAGAGGCTAGTTGATGATGATGATGATGATAGCTCATTCCCTAAAGATAACTTTAGAGAATGTGATTTGTAAATTATTATATAAAAAAGTGATCAAATTGTGGATTATCTATATCAACTTACTTTACTTTATCCTGATCTGGCACGTCAGTAATAACACAGTTCAAAGTAAGATGGTTCAAAAGGCCACAAGGTGCGCCATCCGGTGTATGTACAGGACAAATAAATCCCCAAGCATCAGGTAACAACTGTCTGGCTTCGGTGGTTCTCATCTCTTGAAAGAAGGCTCCTCTGTGGACGGCTCTGAAGTGAGACATGTAACGCATTCTGTTGATGTTTTCAGCCATAATAACCAAACCTTAAAAATAAACAAAAAAATTAGTTATGGAGAGTAGGTTTAGATCTGAATAAAAATAAAATAAGGGAAGAACTAGAACCTCTGAGAAAGGATTTTTGACATAACGGATATACTTAAAGTGACACCTTCAGTAATACTCCATTACTGTTTATTCGACATAGTACTTCTTCATTTGTGATTTTTTCGACCCATGTTATTTTGAATATTTGTGACTAAACATATACCATCTTAACGTTTTTATTTGCAGAGAGATTTAAATAAAAAATTTTTTAGTTGCATGAAAATGGACCTGGCAATTTCAATATATCTTCAGTATTTCATCCACTTGTTTCATTTATGATAGCTCCAAGGTATTTGTAATTATTCACTTTTACGACAGGGGTTTCTATTGAAATTGGATTGTTATTGAAGAACATATAAGTACTTAGTTTCAACATTAATTTGTCTACCGTAATTATTGCACCTTATCTTTTCTAGTAAAAGTCTGGATATACAGCATTCACTGAACTCAGTTCCAACTGCCTAGTGAATTTTGTAATTAATTTTGAGCTCTGATGGTCAAATTGTGACTTCGACTGGAAATGGCTGGAAGTTACTATACAACTAAGCACGTGATTACAGCCAATACACTGACTTAAAACTAAAAAATTATTCACATCCAGTTTATCAACAAAATAAAACTTCAACAATTAAACCACAGGTTTAAATGTTTTGGAATTTCGTAGTTACGTTTATAGATTAGTATTTATAAAGGGAAAGTATTTAATCAAAATTAATGCATATATACATATTTCTATTAGTAACGTTAATTCTTCTTTTTTTTTCAATTAAAGAAGTTTACAACAGTAACACCATTTCAGCTATTCATAACGAGTGATTGGAATGGATGCGAAACGGGTGTTTGGGAAAGAAAAATCCTAAGGAAGATCTATGGTCCTGTGCTGGATGAAGCATCAGGATAATATAGGATAAGAACTAACAAAGAGCTGGACGAACTTTACCCAGACGCCAACATCATAAAAGAAATAAGGTCCAGAAGACTCCAATGGGCAGGACACCTCAGAAGACATTCCGACGAACGAACAGTAAGACTGGTGTGGGAGGAAGTCCCAACTGGAAGGAGACCACGCGGACGCCCTCGTCTCCGGTGGCGAGATAATATAGCAGGAGACCTAAGCACTATGGGCGTGGAGAATTGGATGGAGGTTGCTCAAGACAGAAAACAGTGGAGGGATGTTGTCGAGTCGGCTAAAACCCACGAAGTGTTGTAACGCCACGGAGTAAGTAAGTAAGTAAGTTTCTTACAATAACTGTCAAATATTTCCAAGCTTAGTGAATCGATTATATTCTTCAGGTGACCTCTTCTGGCTAGTTTAGTCAAGTCATTTGTCGTCTACCAGGACCGCGTCTGCCTAAAAATCCTGTCTTCCATTATAAGTTGTAAAACTTTATATCTATCGATCCTGTACGTGCTTAAGATAAGTTGTTTTCGCTTTTTTACTATATTTAGCAATTCCCGATCCATGTTCATCTGTCTAAAAACTTCTTCGTTTCGGACGTGGTCTGTCCAAGAAATCTTCAGCATGCGGTGAAATATTGACATCTAAAAGCATTCTAGTTTTCGCATTATACTGACTTTCAGTGTCCATGCTTCCAAGATATATGATAGGATGCTATATACATAACATTTTACCATGCAGTTTTGTAGTGGGAGTTTAAAATAATTTAGAAAAACCGAACACATTCTTAGGAAATCTTTTCTGGTCATTTCTATCCTTTTCTAATCTCTTGATCCAGATCAAGTGTATTGTTGATAAGGCAGAAGGTATATGAATCTTTCTCCTTGCTTTATAGGATTCCCGTTAATCGATATTTTTATTGTGTGTCGATTATTTCTAAAAATAATCATTGTTTTTGGTTGACTTTGATACCATACCATTCTCATTTCTGTGCGATTCTATCTAACAGAGTTTTTTTTGCACATCTTGCAAAACCATCTTGCTTTTGTACGAAAGTAACCGTGGCGTTAGACAAATATCATCAGGTTCTGTGGTAGCAAAGAGATCTTGATTCGCTTCCCATCTATTCATCCATCGATCATGTTAAGCGTTAAAAATTGAACAATCTAAATGAAATATTAAAATATTATTTCTATTAACAATATTGCTCCACTTTCCCATAATACGTAAAAGTCAGTTATTTTGTAGGAAACAGCCCCAATGTCTCCCACCTTTGTAGTATTTGGGTAATAGCCTTTGAATGTAAGCGTTGTCAACTAATCTTCGGGTATATAATCTGGTATTTGATGCGAAGTCCAACATAAGTTATCAGACAATTGGTTTTATATATATCACCCTCGTTGGGGATATCGGCCTGAACTTGTTATAGAACTTGGGCGTATTTAAGTATTGCTGTATTCATATTTTGTGTAGTTGCCAAGTTCATGCCGTATTATACGGGACACATTTCACAACACATTCCACATGTAGACTGGAATGATTCCTGAAGCCCCCATGAAGGAATACATCAAGCCTTAAACCACCTGATAGAGAGGTAACCAGTATTTATTGGACATAAATAAATAACTTCCCCTCTGTGGGAAGTAGAAGCTACGTCACTATATTGGTATCTGTGTCCGCCTTAAAATCCTTCTGACCAAAGGGTTTTCATTTTTTATTATGTTATTCTTCTTGGTTACCTTCTTCGCCATTGATTTCCTCCTCTTATGGACTTGGGAACACATCGCTGGATACCTCTGCTAGTTGTAATATAACCATTTTGTTAATTGTTCATGGGCACGTTTATTACCCATACACCAATTTTACCGTTTTCGGTTCGTTTTATTGTTTTATATTCTACAGTGTCTACGCCTGAGCTCACGCGACGTTTATATGCCGATTAATTTTGAGGGCTAGATGCCCTAGTTGCTTCTGCGCATCTAGGTAGTGTGTAGGATATCCTAGTGGTCTTTAAGTAGTATTACATTTGTTCAGATTATTTTATTATGATAATTATATATTTCTTTACGGACTAAATATATTTTTCCTTTACTTATTATTAATATATAATTTATAAGTGAGGTGTCGTTTCAATTCCCTTGTTGCATATACCATTAATTATCACTGCAACAATTTGGTAGATTTGGAGTTGTAGTCTACTTTATACGTGGGTCGTAGGACAACTCCGCCTGGCGCCCAGTTAACATTCATTCAATTTAAAAGAAAAGTCTCAACGAATCCCTTCATAGCGGGCCTTTGTTTTCATCCGACAGCCGGTATAGCAACGTAGGGTCAGCACATGCGCGTCGACTTGTTGCAACCATTATATATATTTTTTTTTCGATTTTTTAAAGACTTAGTGTCTTAATGCTTCTCTGGTTTCTTGACTTATGAGTCTGAGATCGGAATCGACTGTATCGAATCTTATTTACTAATTTCTCCATTAACGATTATTTCTTCATTTGCATCTGACAGAACTTCCTAGCAAATTTGTTACGTGCTCAGTATACCCAGGTATATCGACCTAAACTTTCTCAACAGTTCTGTGGAAAACAAGGCTATTACACACAAAACAATTACGAGAACTTCCCCAAAAAGTGATCGAATCCATGAATGTTTTGATAATTACTTATTAATAATAAACATTATTTTTGCACCATTATAATCTATTATCCTATCCAAATTGGCCTGTGTAAATGTCCATGTCTGTGCACCGTAGGTCAGCACCGGTATTATGCAGGAGTTATATACCTTGCTTCGTAAGTATAGAGGGATTGTTTGATTTTTTAAAACGTAAGAAAGTTTGCCGAACGCTGCCCATCCCATTCTTACTCGTCTCGATATTTCGGCTGTTTGATTTTCTCTGTTAGCTCTGATTGCTTTTCCTAGATAGATATACTCATTTACCTGTTCTATTTTTTCTGTTTTTATTTTTATTGCCTCTTGGTCTTCCGTGTTTGTCATTACTTTTGTTTTGTTGAAGTTAATTTTTAGGCCTTTTTGCAGTGATTTTTCATGAAGTTCATTCAGCATTAATTCCAGTTCTTGTCGTTCCGAGGAGATCAGGAGTATATCATCCGCATATCTAAGGTGATTTAGGTATTTTCCGTTAATACATATTCCTCTGTTTTCCCAATCTGTTGATTTTATTATGTCTTCGAGGGTCAAGGTAAACAGTTTAGGTGAAATTATATCGCCTTGTCGGACTCCTCGTTTAACTTTTATATTATCCGTTATTAATTTGTCGTCCAGAATTACGGTCATGGTTGCGTTTTGGTAAATATCATGTATCAATTGTCGGTATCTTGAATATATTCTACTATTGACCAGAGCTTCTTCAACCGCCCAGTGTTCAATGCTGTCGAAAGCCTTTTCATAATCTACGAATTTTGGAAATTCCTGAATCCGGCCTGTTCCACTGGTTGGTAGTTATCAAGTTTATAGGTTCGTCGGTTGTTTATTATTCTTGTGAAGGTTTTATATAGTTGTGACAAAAGGGAAATAGGACGGTAGTTGTTTAGGTCTGTTCGGTCGCCTTTCTTATGTATTAAGATTGTGTTGGCATTTCTCCATTGTTTAGGTATTTTACCTTCAAACAGACATTTGTTGAACAGTATTTTTTGCATTTTTTTATCGTGTCTCCTCCTTCTTTTAGCAGTTCCGCCAGTATTTTGTCCTCATCGGCCGCTTTATTTCTTTTCATGTCGTTTATGGATTTTTCGATTTCATCTTCAGTTATTTCTGGTAATACCTCCGAGCCAACATTTTGTATTTTCCTCGAGAGATTCTGTTTAGACGATAGTGGTGGATCATTTTTAGAACTGTAGGTTTAGAACTATTTAGCTTATACTTAGCAGATATGCCGGAAACACAATCAAGAAAGTTCGGATACGCCGATGACTAGGCCCTCACTACACCATGCAGAACACTAGAAACGTCTGAAGAAGTTCTGACGGCAGACTTATATATATTGGGCAAATATTTTCGCAAGTGGCGACTTCAACCAAATGTATTAAAAACAGAAGTAAGCTGCTTTCACCTGAACAATAAACTTGCTGGAAAGGAACTCAACATACGGTTTGAAAATACCACACTTATCCACAACAAAACACCGAAGTACCTGGGTGTAAGACTAGACAGAACGCTATCATTTAAAGAGCATTTAACAAAAACTGCATAAAAAGTTAAGTACAAGAAATAACATTATACAGAAGCTCTGCGGTACCACCTGTGGAGCATCGGCTTCCACTCTCCGCTCTTCTGTCTAAGCCCTTGTTTTCTCGACCGCTGAATATTGTGCTCCAGTTTGGCTACACAGTCCACACGTACAAAATTTTGACACTCAGCTGCACAGCACTATGAGGATGATAGCTGGTACAATTAAATCAACTCCCACTCAATGGTTTCCACTATTAAGTCGCATCCCACCTCCACATTTACGACGAGTTGACGCACTTATACGTGAATACAAAAAGATCATGAACTGCCGATCCAGCCAGATACCGAGGATGCACGAAATACCCGTCTCCGTTCTAGAAAACAACCAATGAAAACGGCAAGAATGATACACGATGAGTTCAACATCACTAATGCATGGTCCCCAAGAATGGAACGCATGGCAACATAACATGCCCTGCATTACCCACAAACCACCAGGTTTTTGATCTTCCATGCTAAACATGGTCCACTCTAAATAGGATCCGAACCAGACATGGCAGATGTGCATACATGCTATATAAATGGGGAAACTGATTATATTAATACACTTGATGTTTGTAACTATTTAAAGTTTGTCATATACCTATATTACTAGTGTTTGTAATTTTGTTCTAAATGTGTTGTAATTGCCATACGATATATAAATAAATAGTCGGTACTATAGACTAGCGCAAAGCTTCATAATATGTTTTCTGCATTTTTACAATTTAAATATTTTTAAAATTAAATACAGTTTATTTTTTTTATAGATTTTTTACAGATGATAATAAAATTAAAAAAAATTATATGTTGTATAACGGACTCTCCTCGCCGCGTAAATGGACTTTTTCAACTCTTTACTGTGACTGCGAATCGCTATTTAGTTTTGTGGCACTACTTCTGTGACGCTCGCCTCAGCATTTTACTATAAAGAAAAAGTAATACATCGCAGAACAGAAGCTTCGCTTCACAAAATTCCAAGAATAACATTTATATTTTTTAGATTTTTCGAATAATTTCTTGAGTTATATAAGTTACCTAATTACCTAGTTTATCTCCTGTAGGCATGATATTATTATGTAAGTAATTGAAGAAATAACGTAGACGGAAGTAGTAAAAAATTTGGATGAGAAAACTAGTACGAAATGCAGGGAAAAAAGGAAATTAGCGAAATAATCAGATGTTACGTTAGGATTTGTCAAAACAAGAGTAGAAAACACAAAAGAGGGTAAAACATAGGAAGACTAGAACAGTAGTCTATAAGAAGAAGACAGGAAAAACATAAAAAATTAATAAACCTAAAGACTTATAACAAGATCATACCAGCATAAAGAATTTATTTAAAATTAACATACCTTTATCTTGCATAAGTCCCAATCCTGATATGCTGTTTAAATTTCCAGTGGCTAAGAAATTACCAAGGGCACTTTCAATTCCTCCACTATTTTTTGCTGCTCTCAACATTTCTGTTTGAGAAATTGAGAAAGTGGCAGCTTTAGCCAACTTCAAAATACTTAGTTTCAACCCGTTCAACCAAGAATACATTTTTTCCTTAAGTATCTGTAAATATAAGTGACCACCTAAAAGAAAAATTGTTTTTAAAAAATGCAATAAAAATCTACCTTTCTATCACACAGTAGGTTTTATTTTTTTTTCTTTGACTACTATATTTTCTCTCGCAACAAACCAAAACTGTAATTAAATTGTTACAAAAAAAATAATATCGTGTTTTTTGTTACTTGGTGGTAATTTTCTATAATCATAAAAAATGTTAAAACAAACCTAAAAGTAGCTCTTGCATCATTACAGCATCAGCACCCTCCACTTTGCATTTGTCCTGAGCGAAAGAAAACAGTTTCTGTGCCATGAAAACTAGCATGTTAAACTTATCTTCGTTGTTGTCTAGATGAATTAATATACACTTTCTCAAAATAAACTCAGCTACTTCTTTATCTGTCGACCATTCTGGACATTCATAGAATTTCACTCGGAACATTTTGCCTAGATACAGACGACAGTCTTCCGTTGTGTGAAGGTTTTCTCTGTGAACTGCACGGAGCATGTTCTGTACACAGCTAAAATGTAGGTTTACGTCAATATTCATTACATGTTACATTAATATAAGTACATAAAACTGTCTATCACCTTAGAAGCCATTGTCAGATAAGAAATACACAAGAAAAACTAAGAATAATATACAGAATACTCTCAGTCTTCATGAATGGATGGAGTAAGAGAGGAAGAACGAAAACATTTAGCGCTTCTATTACAAGGTGACGAACCTCGGTCGAGAAACGATCGGCGATCGAAAACATCTGTATGCCGAATTTTGCAGGGAGTACCCAGAGATTCAAGTATCTGAATCAGTTGTGGATCAAGTCCTTAATAAAATCCTCAATGAGCAAATTCCTAAGCCTCTCATACAAGAAACTCAACATGTTAATACGCAGCAGGATAACGAGTTGCATGATAGCCTGGTAAGTGAAATGGTACGTTCCGTACAAGAGTTTAATGGGACAAACCCACTTAGCAGGCCTCCGCTACCGAAAATAAACTTTTTTAGGAAGTTAGTTAACACTGAAGTCCCACCCAATTATAAAGTTTAAGCCCATATATTGCAATGTTTGCATATGCTCATTTATTGTGCAGCAACAGCACTTGCTAATGTTATGGACATTAAGATCAGAACACGGCGGCGTACTAATATCGGAAGGACTGAAAACAGAATTGCACCCTAGAAAAAACGAATGCTGAGGAAAATTGAATTATTGCGCATTTATACATATATAAATATCCCTGGTATAAATAATTCTGAACACTCTCAGAAAACAACACTCCCTGGACACATTAAAACAAAAACTCTCCGGTCGCCTAAGGAGATAGTTAGTAAAAATAAATCCTACTTAAGACAAGAAGAAATTTATGAGTTTTTAATAAATCCTACTTAGGTTAAACACAAACAGAGCGGCGTGCACCGCGTCGGCGGCGGCGTTGAAAGCGGTCACTCGTCTATGGTACTTATGTTGTGCAACACAGACGAGCTGTCGTTAGTCAGCTCGCAGCGTCGGCCGCCGCGTGGCCTATGCTGAGTATCATGAGCCGTGGTTTTGTGACTTTCGGCGGCACATCAGTAATAGATATCTCGTGTTTCAACAAAGACGTGTGACTGTTTTGCAGCGGTTTTATTTGGTTACTTTTGTGAGTGTTTGCCAAATTTTGTATATATTATGGAAGCTATAGACATCGATAAATTAATTACCGATTTTCACACACGGCCAGCAATTTGGGATATGCGCTCAGATAATTATTCGAATAGGTTACCCACAGTTTTATTTTGAAAGATGCTTTTCTGGACAATCTTTAATTTTGTTAACTAACGTGTAAAACGTTCCTTTATTTTTTCATTCATTTACTATAAAATGTACCCAATATCTGCGTTTCTTCTTCTTCTGTGATTTAATATGAAGTAAACTAGCACTTATTAGGAAAAACAAATCGTCGTCACTTTCACTAGATGATTCTAGAGACATCATTATACCATTCTACGTCCAAAGCTCGACTAAAATTGACAACACCGAATACAATGGCAAAACTACTGCCACTGATAAACTGCCTCATGTGTTTTAAGCCGCGCGGCAGCCGACGAGGCGCAGACGCGGCTGAAACCGGCCTGTGTTTAACCTTAAGCCAAGAAGAAATTTATGATTTTTTGGAAACCAACTTTAGACGCCTGCTACTCATAACAACAATACTAAATAGATTAAAGACACGACAAACAACTGTCAACACTACAGGCAGGAATATTCCCTATGAACCTTTTACCACTGAAGAAGTCTTGAACATTATCAAAGAGTTCATAACTGGAAATCTGGACTAGACGGAGTTCAAAACTTCCGGCTAAAGAAGTTTTTGAGTGTTTATGAGCTTTTAACAGTATAAATCATATTATTTTTAATCCACAGGAGATACCATCATTTCTTAATCAGGGATCAGTTAGGTATCTTCTTCTTTTTCTGGTTCCTAGTTATAAACAATTCTGCTTGTTCATTTGGGGATTAATACCTCTATGGAAAGTTGTCACTTCACCTTTTGCGCGGTCGTCCGATACTTCTTTTGCCGATTGGTAACTTATCTCTTGCTATTTTGACGACACGGGTCTCCTCAATTCTGCTTATGTCGTTATTTCATTTCATTTTTTTTTCTATTTTGTGTCCATTAATTTATACACGGTACATTACATTCTCTTCTAATATATTCACTTCTCTTTCGATCTCTCAGTGTATTTCCTATAACTCTTCTCAGTACTCTAATCTCTGCCGTTTCCAGTAGCCTTGGCGTTGTGGTTGTGTCGGGTCTTGTTTCTGAGGCATATGTTACTATTGGTCTTATACTGGCTTCATAAATTCTTGACTTAACCTCGGTGTTAATGTGTCAGTTTCGCCATATAGCGTTATTAAGGCATCTTGCCAGTCTATTTGCTTTTTGTACTTGATCTCTCACTTCTTTGTTCAGGTATCCATAGCTGGACAGTGTAATTACCAGGTATTTTATTTCCATTACTTGTTCAATACTGATGCCATCAATTTCTATTTTATATCTGGTTGATTCTTTGCTGACTAGTATTGTTTTAGTTTTCTGACATGAGATTGTAATATTAAAATATGTTAAATCTATGGAACAGCTTTTGCAGACTATTTTCATGTTGGGCTATCATTATTGGGTCGTCTGCGTAATAGAGTATTTTTATTAATATACTAATTATGTAATACCCAACGATCAAAATAACACCCAAGATCCAGCCAAGTACCACCCAATTACTTCTCTTCCAACTTTGGACAAATTGGTTACATCCTTCGTAGCCCAGTGTATCTACCAATACTTTCTTTAAATAATATCATAGAGCCTCAACAAAGGGTACACCAAAAAAAGGAACCTTTTACTGCCTTCATTGACTACAAGAAGGCCTTTGATTCAGTACAGCATGAATGGTTTACAGATAGATTGAAAATATATATATATATATATATATATATATATATAAAGTCGATAATGATACAGAGTGACCTTTTTAAAGCATATAATGACAGAGGGAAAGACTTCAAATACCCGGTTAAAACAACATCAAAACTAAAGATGTAGCAATTAACCGAGGCCTTTTACAGGCGAACTCGTTGAGTCCACTATGATTTCTGTTTGGCGATGAACCCACTATCTCAGCTACTGCACTCCACTTACTAAGGTTTATATGGATGATTTATGGTAGTTGAAACTACCTGGATCTCAAATGATATCAGTTTGCACCTGCAGACAAGTGCCGTGTTTTAAAACATCGAGGTAATGGGTGAAAATTATATATACAAATATCTCGGAGCCATATGACCATAAATAAATGAAAACCGAACTAACTTCTGAGTTTGTACGAAGAATAGGGCAGCTAAATCGGTCAATCTCAATAATAAAAATCTGTTTAAGTCATTAAATATGTAGGCCTCTTCCGCGCTTAGCTAATCATTTGGTATTATTAAGTGGTCAAAAACGGATATAGAAAGTAAGGAGACTTCTCACAAAGACGCAAAAACACCATCCACGCAGAGCAGTAGAGAGAACAGTATAACCGCGGTATCAAGGGGGAAGAGGACGTATGGACATACGTGAGCAACAGTTGCCAATTTAAGAACTAAGACGCTGGCTCAGACATCTGCTTTACATCGAGCAATTTGAGCGAACGGGCGACTTTTCAATGAGATCAGCCAAGAATATGTATATAATACAGCGTCGAACTCTTGGTTGACATCAGAAAGGATGTTTCCCGAGACAGAGATCTGGTAATTGCAATTCAAATACGAAGATAATGGAGAATGGAAAGTACTCAGATAATGCCTATAATCCTTTCTACCACTGAAGTTATTCCGAAGAGCCTCTTAGAGAACATAAAACAGCTGGATCTTAATGAACATTTCTATAACAGAAGTACTGCTCTCAACATCTAGATGCGTAATAAAATTTTTGGGAGATTCTCCGACGTACCAAGTCACCTAAGGCTCGATAATATGGAAATAGACCCACCAGAGTTCAATCCTTTTGATACCGTAAGAATCTGGGATGAGTGAATTCTCCCCTTAAAGGGAGAGTAAGCTGTATGGTTAAATCTGGATCATTTTTTTTGTACAAAATACTAATACTCTCACGTGTTCATGAATGAATGAAGTAGGAGAGGAATATCAAAGAATACCTAGTGAGGGAAGTTTAGGATAAAGACAAAAATAATGATCATATGTCTTTCCGGGAAACAAATAACTGTTAACTCATTAAAAAACGTATTGTTGTGTTTTTTATGATATGTGTTAATTCCAGGCAATCTGTGGCTTCTTTATGTGCAATAAATCTAAGGTTAATTTAAATACTTACTCTATATAGTATGTATCATCCTCGCAACCTTGAATTAACCTCTGATAAATATACTGGTCGCTGTAATTACACAGTGCTTTCAGAATCAAGCACAAAGGAGTATAATATAGCACTTTTTGATAACTAAACATCAGTTTCGCTGTACCATCGTTTACAAAATGCAAGACGTTATTCTAAAATAAATGAATGAATATATCATTAATATAAATAATTATTGCTGAATGCATGTACAATAGAATCGGAATATGAATAGACATGGAAATACTGTGCGCACTAGCAGATTTCAAATTACAGCACCGATAATTGTTTATTTAATCTAAAAACGGATCAACAATATAAAGTGAAGCAAAAAAAAATTTTTTGAATGCTGAATCTCGTAAAATACACTCAGTGTTTCACTCAACGAAAAGTAGCTGCATATGAAAAGAGCATATAACTAGCATGGCAGGTAATTTGATTATTAATCTAATAAGAATAACAAATAATCTGATTTAGAGCTGAATTTTCATGAATTTCTGTGTGTAGCATCAAAAATAATGCTTGAAAATTTTCCTTGAAAAGGAAATATATTCGGCTTTATAACTCCTAATAAGAGACATAAAATTTCAAACAGTTACACAAGGTATGTAACGTAGGCAGTTTATTAATTTTCATATAACTGAAAATTTAGTAAGTACCCACTATAAATAAAAGTCAAAGAAATTTATTAAGGAGTTGAGTATAAACGAGGCAATCAAGTCAAATGTATGGTTCTTTTTTACTTACCGTAGCCGTTTGATCACTCCTAACGCATCTTATGGAAACGCCACAATCTGAAAAAAGGGCGCCCCTTTGTTTCCAACCAGATCTTTTGATAGTTATAGGATAGTTTCGTCTTGTCATCAATAACATCCTGACCAACTTTTCGTTACCTTTAATAATGAAGTATCCACCCCATTCTTGTTCGTGTTCGCCGCATTCTACCAATTGTTTAGGAGACATTTTAGATAAATGACAGCGTTCCGACTAAAAAAAAAAAACAAAAATATAATAATTTTTTGAAGAATAAAGACTTTTGGTTATGAACATTCATTCTGTGCGATTGGTATTATTTGTTTAAACTACCAGAAAAGAATATATTTAGTCTTTTAAGGGATAAAATCACTAGTACTTAAAAAAGATTAAAACATTAAATTAAATATTTTTAACTTCGTAAATAAAAACAATGATTTATTGATTAATTTTGAAATAAACCCTACAAACACAACAACAAAATACCTGAAAGACAGTAAAACATAATTAAAGTTTGATAATACCAATCGCACAGAATGAATTTTCATAACCAAAAGTCCTTATTTATTTTTCAAACAGTTAAAAAACAAATATTTCCAACTTCTTATGGAACAAATACATACAAATTAGAAATGTTTGTAAAGGTTCTTAAAAACCGCGCCCATTGTGACGTCAGAGCTTAGGTAGTCCATTACAGACTAAAATGCGAAACCCAACAGACCAGTCATGGTCACTGTCTGACCCTCATCGAATGTATCGAATTTCCATAAAACTCCACGAGATGAAACCCATTTTAGGCATCAGATGTCACGGAGACCATCGCCGTCTTGATATTCATGTTCAGTGATCCCAAAAAACTACGAGTAGTAATAGTGAACTCATTTCAATTATTTCCGAATTACAAATTTAAAATTTTTCATCATTTCCAAATGCACTTTGGAAAATGCATTTTTCTTGTTCAACAATGCAATTTTTATTTCCATATCATTATTTTTGTTCACAGAATTTCCTGGCACTCGTACGAATCGAATTTAACAAGTTTCATTGAGATTGAAGAAATTTTTTTTCGTAAGTCACTGTTCGTCTGGTCAACGATGAGTTTCTAGTTTCTAGTTTGAAAACATCTTTGGAGATCAAATGTATCCTATCAGTGGTATTACTTGGTGATAGTATGGAGTCAATAAAATAGTACGAGGTAAATCACAATATGTAGTCACCCAGTAAGTAGAAACGTAGCGAGTAGTAAAGATTTAGTGCAGAATGGATCATCTTTCATTGTTCACAAAACAGGTTCCCAATATCGACAATCCCAAATAGTTATTTGAAAGCATTTTGGAGCATACTGGAACTCTGAAACTGTGAATTCCTCAAGAGGTTATTTGGAATTACTCAAACTAGATTTTGATTTTATTTTTTTGTAGGTATTACAGACTAAATAGAATGATATTAAATTTTATATTCAAAAAATTTTAAAATATTAACAAATTCGAAGTCCAAATCATTAGACAGAGGGAACAGTTTGATATAATCTGGCAACAAACTTGCGACCTCGAAGAATTGGAACCTAAGCGAAAACGAATTAGAATTGGCGATGTAGGTGACACAAAAATATCGTATCATTGAATTTTTTGTGAAAAAATAGATACTTAACATTTCCCATATTTTAAGATAACATATTTAAAATATGCCAACTTTAGTTTCCCGGAAGAGGCATTTAATTGTCTAAAAAAGCATTATGCAAACTTTTTTGACATTCTTTCCCCGCATTCTCAACTGTACGTTTTGTGTGCGTCTCAACACTCTGTACAAACTGATACTAGTTCTAAAATGCTGACATTTCTTAAACAAACTGAACTGGATGGTGTTATCCCTAAAATATTACAATTCATAAAAAAAAATATGTTAAAGTTAAGTAAAAGGAACATGTAACATACTTTCGCATTTGTTTATATAAAATATGTTTAATAATTCCAATCGAGAACATTCATAAGATAGCCAAATCAAGTCCGTATCGTTGTCGTAGGTCCTTAAAATCAAACTTGACCCACTAATGAATAAACTGCTGACATATGCAAAGACTATTTTATAAGAGAGTAAACGATTATTATCTCGAAGATCAGAACTAAATTAACGTCAAGATGGTAAGTTAATGTATCACGTATTGGTAATTATGAGGTAGTCTCATAGCAACTTCAACTAAGTACGAAATACGGTTAGAATAAGTAATGTTATATAAAAGTGTAGTGTTGTGTTCTAATAAATGGTCATCTAATTTAATAACCACGTTATTTATTATAACTAAGTTATTCACCATAGAAGCATATGGTGACGTTTTAAAATTATGTTACCTAGTGATGACAATACCTGCTACAAGTGCATCTGTAGAACGAAGCTTTTCTGTACCAAAACGAATTAAAAACATTTGTTGGAAATTTCACAAGTGAAGAGAGGCTAGCTAACTTATCAATTTTGTCAATTGAAAAAGAACTTATTAAAAAATTGTCTGAAAATCTCAGTTTTTATGAGTCTGTCATAATCGAGTTTGCCAAAGATGACAGAAGAATAGAGCTGCACTACAAGCAAAAAGTTAAGTAAGTCTTTTTATAATTTCATTTAATATGAGTCTCTTTTTTAATTGTCACGGCACGCCACTGCTTTCTGATCTTCTCATATGTTTTTATAGAGGCCAATGTATGTGCAGAAAGCCAGACACCTTAATTAAGTCATCCTAAAGGTTGAAAATCAACGTAAAAGAATACTGTTGAGTGACTCTAATGTAAGAAAAGGAATTGTAAGAACAGTCTGAGAACATTGCGAAAAACTTCTGATTAATAACCGTCCAAGGTTAATAGATATATGTGAAAAACACCATTTTAAAATTCTAAATCGGTTTTATGAGCAGAAGTATAAGATTGCATTGAATTTTAGATTAAACATCAATCGCCATAGGGTATATCGTCAGAATTTATGAAAATATTGACATATTAATCAGCACATAAACAAATAACAAAAAAGAAACAGGCAAGTTATAATAAAATGAATAAAATATATCGTCGAAAGACAATAAATCGTAAAGAAAAACACAAGTATAAGTCCTAGTTAAATAATAAGAAGAAAAACTAATTGAAGTTTGAGTTGCACTGACTATTTTGTAGTGAAATCGTCATCGCCAGTGTATAATAAATGAAGTATATGATTTAAATTGTATGTTGTAACGTCAAATCGTAAAGAAATAAATATAAAATAAACGTCATGAAGAATAAACCAAAACATGAATTAAATGAAAGACCATCTTTTATGAAATGGAAATCTCATACGACTTACACAATCGCTATACTATCCTGGACAATGGGTTTAACTAACATTTTTTATATACCAACATTAATTTTAGAAAACGGCATATTAGATTTTTTTGTAAGTCACATTGTAGTAATGGTTATGGTAGGATTACCTGTAACTGTTATTGATATAGCAATCAGCCAGTACTCATCTAAATCAATGGTTCGATGTTGGGACATTTGCCCGTTTTTTAGGTAAGTCACTACATGTGATATTTCAAGATAATCGTAAAACGAAAGGTTCAGGCGATGAACTAGGATTCAGAATGTGTTTAAAATTCTTCAGATTATTTTTTCAGTAAATGCAGGGGAAAGGCGGGCAAACTGGGGTACTTAATGTTTAAATTCGCATGTAAAGCAAATCTATAACCTTCGAGGTCTGGAAATAAATCAAATATCATTGTTATAGTAGTAATTATTTATTAATTTAACTTAAATTTAAAAAAGTAAGCTTTTCTTTATATGAAAAAACAGAAAATAATGTAAATTACCCCATTATTTCCATCGTATAGGGTAAAATGGGGTACGAAATTGAAACCAAGAAAAGCCTATTGACAAAATTCGCATACAAGAACTGCTTCATTATTCTCATCTTGTACACCTGCTCATGAATTGTGAGCCCATGTATGGCAACTATAACAGCTTATCCATCCCCTATGGAACTTGAATAAAAGTCTCCGCTCCGCATTACAAGCACTCAGTGTCACTATCTTTGCCTTCTGAATCTAACTGTACTTGTTTAGTATCTTTCAATTTCGATTTTTTACTCGTCTGTGATTTGGTTTGATTATCTGTTATCTTTCTTTTAGCTGATTTCGCCTCCATAGCCTGTGTTTTTCATGTGCCAGTTCCAGCACCATTTTGTAAGGCGAAGACGTTAAAATGGCGGTTTTGCCTCTTTTTTTTTATACGCGTTTCTGGGATTGATTTATTTTAGGCACTGTTGCGATAGCTTTGGGACTTACTAAAACGAGTCACTTTCTTTGGAAGATACTGGTTGAGGCTCGGGAGTTTTACCTCTAATAGACTGTATTATAGCCTCTACTTGATTTTCGGGTTTTCTGAGGTCAATTTCTGTATCAGTTGTAGCTGATGGCAAAAAATCTGCTTCAGAAAAAACGGCCATATCCTCAGGCCACACGGCGGTTGCTTTAAAACCAGTTTTTGCAGTAGTCATTGTAGCTGCTCTTAAATATGTGGCAGTGAATAAGGACAAAATTTGCTGGAATGTTATTACTCTTCAAGGATGTGTTTTAAGCCATTTCCTTACTTCGCACATAAACTTCTGGAAAAAATTAACGCACCACTCATATTTTTCTCAATAATCTTTATTTATTGAAAAATTTACTGTATGACAAGTTGCCTATGGACCTTGTTTGACAGTGACAGTTGTTATGTAAGCTAATAATAGTCTTGTCTTAACAATAATTTGTATTAAACTTCGTTTTAGATTAAAAGTGAGTCAAACTTTTCATAAAAAGTGCCGATTAAAGCAAAGTGCTTGTGGGAAACAAGCTTTTTATTGTGATATTTTTTAACACATGCATGTTTGAAAGTTCATTTACATAAAAATCAAATAAAAATAAACCGCCAAAGAAATTTGTCAATGGAGGAAGCAGTGCGAGCATCGACTCTCCGAGATGAAGGATATTCAAAGCGATACGTTGCAGGTTTGTTATGAAGACATCATACTAGCATCAGTCTCAAGGTGAGGCGATATAATGAAACAGGGACGTACCATCTAGGACCATGGCAAGGTCGAAAACGTTGCACTAATCCAATTGATGATCGTTTTTTGAGACAACGTGCTCTCAGAGATAGGAAAGTCACCAGCAATTTGCTACAAAGAGAACTAGCAGATGTTCGAAATGTCGCGATATCGTCTCGACCAGTTAG